CGATCGATTAACTTGTGGACAATGATCCCTCGCTCCCTTGCTCTGATCTCGCCTCGTTAAGTGGCCTGCCTCACACAGGGTGACTGGCTGTCTACATCAGGGGTGCCCACACTTTTTGGGCTGGTGAGCTACTTTTGAAATGACCAGCTCACCGAGGTCTACCAACCAAAAATAAAATCCCAAATTGCAAGGGTTGCTGAATAACACGTTTTATTTATACATGGGATAATAGGGCTGCAACAAACGACTAATTTGATAATCGATTAATCTATCGATTAATGAAACGACTAATCGACTATTCAGACTATTAATGTATGCCTTGCACAATTTCTCAAACCCTCTTGTTTAGCCATCAACTTTTAGATTTAGCTTGAGGTTGTTTTAGGCATGTGGAAACTAACAATGAAGACAATAAAGATGAATACTTGATTCAAAAATACATATATTATTAAATTAACAAATTGTGAACAAAACTAACATTGCTTTTTATTTAAATTAAATAAATAATATTTCACATCAAAAGAAACAACAATGTTTTAACAAATCGTATTAAATAATCTGATGACAGAACTGTGAACAGAATAGCTGAAACTTTAACAAAATAAAGAGTAACTCAGTTACCTCTAATCATTAACCCATGTTTGAATCATTGAGTTAACTGCGTGTGTTGCTGCTAGCATACATAACACCTGACGTGGAAACGTTACTCGTGGATGGGGCTACAGAGCTGCTAGAAAGACGGTCGAACCCGGTACATTCCTCCGTCTGGATGTGGTGCACTTTTGCTAAATGTTTGACACATTGCTCGTGTTACCGCCCTCACATGCTGAACTCTCTTGGCAAGGAGCATTGTCCACCTCAAGACGGGTAACATTTAACCACACCTTGGAGCGTTTCTCTCCGCCATCTCCTCCGTGTGTTGCTGCTTGTAGCAGCCGCGTGTGTGTAAACTGCCCCGCCCCCTCGCGCACAGACGGGGGAGAGATCTCGTCTGGATTGGAAAGATCGAAAATACACCGACATTTGTTTGTCTTTTTGCATGTTAGAAACGAGTTGGCGACACTAAGATTGCGAGATAATATGTGTGTAGCAATAATACATGACCTTTCTCTTTCTCAACTCGCTACTCGGAGGGAAGTCGCTGTCATATGCCTTGTGAACACTCCGATAATGCCTCTCCACGTTACCTTTCTTTGGCAGAGCGACGCTTGCTTTACAAATAAGGCAAATAACCTTTGAATGTGACATCACAAACAAATATTCTTCCTCCCATTCTGGGTGGAAGTGGTATGTCTTTAGCTTCTTGCTCGGTCCCGCACTCATTTTGTTGTTTGTCTCTTGTTTGTCTCTTTAACTTAATTTGAGTTTTCCCGGCACTTGACTGATTTTGTATCGCTTTGCATTCTGGGTTAACAGACTGGAAAGCGATAGGTCGCTTTTTCTGTCAATCAAGTAAACTCCTGAATTAAGTGGCAGGGAGGCCAAGGGAGGAGGGATCAAAACCTGTTTTGTCTATTTTAACGGAACAGGATTTTTTTTTTTATGAATGACTCGCGATCTACCAGCATTGCCCCCGCGGTCGACCGGTCGCCCGCGGTCGACGTACTGGGCACCTCTGGTCTACATGATGTGGCCTGCCAACATGGCCACTGTCATAGAGATCATAAATCAAAGCCCTTGATTGGTCTCTGTGTGTCATTCAAGCTCGGGATAACCTCAGCTCAGGTGAAGTAAAGGACTCTCTGAGTGTTTAGATAGTTAACTTAGTTTAAGTTCTCAGTGGGTCTCAAACGGTTTGGTCACCATTTATGTAAACACATATTTCCATTTGAGAGGGTAGTGATTGATCTAATGGATAGTGAGGTGGGCTGAAGATCGGAAGGCTGTGAGTTCAAATCCCGCCAGGAACACCACTACTAGTGTGCCCTTGAGTGCCATCTTTACGCAAAATTATTATACAAAATGATTATACAAAATGAAAACTTTTTTTTTTTTTTTGCGCACCCCCCCCCGCCCCGCCCGCTGCCACCACCCGCCCAAGTATATTTCAGATCTGTGGGAAACACTGCACAGCCAAGTAATAATTGCAAATGAATTAAGTCGGCACGGCGGCCCACATTGAAAATGACTTAGGCCTATACCTTTGATGATCAAATCACTGAAACACAAAGTCCATCCTCCTGTCCTTTTGGATGAAGCACTTGCGGGTCATTCAGCTGATCCTTTGCCACTCCAGTTTATCATTGTAACTCAATCTTGAAAATGACTCGGTTAATAATTTCACAACGATGTCATCACTATCACTGAAGTGAGCCATCATGAACGAACTTATGCTAATCATAAATCTATCGATCATAAATCTATCGATTAGATTTATGATTCAAAAATAATAAAAGTAGGATAGACATGTGGATATTATCCGGCTGAACAAAACGTGCATTTATCTAACAGGTTCGTTTTCCATCCATCCATCCATCCATCCATCTTCTCCCGCTTATCCGTGGTCGGGTCGCGGGGGTAGCAGTTCCAGCAGAGAGCCCCAAACTTTCTTTTCCCTGGCGACATCAACCAGCTCTGACTGGGGGATCCCAAGGCGCTCCCAGGCCAGCGAAGAGATATAATCCCTCCACCTGGTCCTAGGTCTACCCCTTGGTCTCTTCCCAGCTGGACGTGCCTGGAACACCTCCCTAGGGAGGCGCCCAGGTGGCATCCTAACTAGGTGCCCGAACCACCTCAACTGGCTCCTTTCGACGCGAAGGAGGAGCGGCTCAACTCCGAGTCCCTCCCTGATGACCGAACTTCTCACCTTATCCCTAAGGGAGACACCAGCCACCCTGCGGAGAAAACCCATCTCGGCCGCTTGTATCCGCGATCTCGTTCTTTCGGTCATGACCCATCCTTCATGACCATAGGTGAGGGTAGGAACGAAAATGGCCCGGAAGACTGAGAGCTTTGCCTTCTGGCTCAGCTCCCTTTTCGTCACAACGGTGCGGTAAAGCGACTGCAGTACCGCTCCCGCTGCTCCGATTCTCCGGCCCATCTCACGCTCCATTGTTCCCTCACTCGAGAACAAGACCCCGAGATACTTGAACTCCTTCACTTGGGGTAAGGACTCATTCCCTACCTGGAGTGGACAGTCCATCGGTTTCCTGCTGAGAACCATGGCCTCAGATTTGGAGGTGCTGATCCTCATCCCAGCCGCTTCACACTCGGTTGCGAACCGATCCAGTGAGTGCTGAAGGTCGCAGACCGATGAAGCCATTAGAACCACATCATCTGCAAAAAGCAGTGGTGCAATCCTTAGTCCACCGAACTGCAGACCCCCTCCCCCATGACTACGCCTCGAAATCCGATCCATGTATATTACAAACAGGATTGGTGACAAAGCGCAGCCCTGGCGGAGGCCAACCCTCACCGGAAATGGGTCCGACTTACTGCCGAGGACCCGGACACAGCTCTCGCTTTGGTTCGTTTTCCACAGACCTTATTTCGAGCTATTTTCCAAAACCCTATGGAGAAATCCCGTTGCTTTCTGTCGAGGGAATCCGAGCGAAGCTTACTTCCGGATTTTATGACGCGTCACTGCACCACTTGCATAGACCTCACAGCGGGCGGAACTTGTCATAAAGTCCGCGAAAATAAAGCCCACCCATTTAGAGGGAAGATCTGATTGGTCAATTGTACTGTCATTTGACATTACTCTCTCATTGAGTTACTATAACGGGCCCTCTGTGAATGTAGAGAGGGACCAACAAGCTCTCCCGTCTTCACATAACTCGCAGAGACGGCATTTAACCCTTCACATTCCAACAGAAACTGAACAGGCAGATTCGAAGGATTTATTTCTTTGGAAATATTATTTTAAATACAATTAAATCAAGTTATTTTGGTAAAACTAATGAAAAATGTAACAACAAAAAAAAATAAAAAATAATATTTTTATTTTTTTAATGTTTTCAAATATTATTTTTTAGAATATCTTAGGCCCTCACAGAGGGCCCTGACGGCTCGCCACTGTCAGCTGGGTATACAACCATATGCCTACTAGTGCTCTGGCTCCACCACCTGTCGCCAACAATTACACTAGGTGCCCAATTAACCCAGTGCCCAAAGATGCATTAAAAAAAAGAAGCATAACACTACTTTAACTAACTTAAATAATACGACTTAATAAAACATTACAAAAACAACAAGAAAATAAATGTTTAACTATTCAATAATATAAATAAAAAATATAGCTCCAACATATTCTTCAAGGGATGGTTCAAGCTACTGTGTTGTAGAATAATTCAGTCAGAGGCCAAATTAGCAGAGGATTACAGATCTTAACTCATCTTTCCTTATTTACATTTTTTAAATATTATTCCAACTTCCAATCACAGTAGTGTGTACTTTGGATTACTTGCTCTTCTCTAGGTCCATATTTCACATCTTGTTCAGGCATTGGATTGAATCATAACGTTTTGTGTTGCTTCAATAATGTCAGGATGATCTTGAATGTCGCAAACCACCAATTTACTTAGCAAACTCAACATGTAGTGTTTACTCAGAAAGTCCCAAGTCTAACACTACACAACTAAAATAAACATTTTGATTGACACATTTTCACTTGAGATTATGACTGGATGAACATCTGGTAACCTTTTATAAAATTCAATGGCAATATAACTGAATATGTATAATACAAATATTTGATTGAAGTATCCACCTATAGGTCTTTTGCCACAGTGTACTTGAGATTTGTGTTTATATGCATTTATTTTATTCTAACATGGTGCAATTGTCACGAAACTCCCCACTTGGATTAATAAGTATTGTGATTGATTGATATGATATCAATATATATATAAACATCGATATATGTAAATGTAGGGAGATAAATACATTGCAAATGATCAGTGCAGGAATCTCTCTCTCTCTCTCTCTGTGTATGTGTGTGTATGTGTGTGTGTGTGTGTGTATGTGTGTGTGTGTGTGTGTGTGTGTGTGTGTGTGTGTGTGTGTGTGTGTGTGTGTGTGTGTGTGTGTCTCTCTCTCCCAGAGCTGCTTTCTCCTGCCCCCCCTCCCTGATTCCTCCACCGGCAGCGATGCAGATGGAATACACTGAAGCTAACGTCAGACTCCGCAGAGTTAATTGTAGTAATTAATGTCATACTTCTGTTTAATTTGCGAGGATGGTGTCGCCCACTGAAGCCGGGTAATCAGACTCAGAGGCCGGAGCGGCAGGGAAGGCTATATCTGCCTGGAGTTCAAGCAAGGACTCCTTGGTTAAATATCGGCCTCCGTGCAGGATTCTATTGGGCCAATTGTGGATACTTTAGGGCGTATTTGAACCGGGTTCTCTCGGCAGTGGAGGTGGCTTTAGGTGGGTTCGGTTCTTGATGCCCGGAGGGCCGGAGGATCCAACATTAAGCAGCCCAGACTGCGGAGCCCCGGAGTAGGGCTCGAACACCGGGGAGTACAGAAGGTATGTTGGCTCTGCGAAAAACAACCTTTCTGTTCATCGTGTCCGTGTGTGAAACCCCGTTTTAATACGTTTAATTAACCGGATGGTTAAACCACCGACCAGGCTGCTCAACGTCGATCCACATGTTGTTTAATGTTTTGTGTTGGAGGAAGAAGATATCTGGTGGCTAACTGTTAGCCTCGTAGCATTCCATTGTCACAGCCCGTTGGAGCTAGCTATGCTAACAGACTGGCTTGCTGTGAAATAGGAATCAATTCTAACGTTACATTTAACACACACTATCCTTCGTTTGTATTCTCGTTTCTTGGTTGGTTCAATATATGTCTGTGGATTACTGTATGGTGTTTTAGACGCGTCGGATTGCTTTCGTCTTGTTAGCATTTTATGCTAACAGCGGTGTTACCCCATAAAGCAAGGAGAAGCTTCATTAGCAAGTTAGCATTAGCTTCGTTACCTGGTTGCAACACTACAAGGAATCTCAAAATGTCTCCTGACTCTGTCATTTTGTCGGAGCAGTTCACTTCACAAAAATAGAAAACACGAGGACGTGACCCGGAAAACTCTCCAGTTTATTTCGTTTTATTGTTTTAATTCAGCCATAACATTATAGCATGCGCGTGCGTGTGTAGCATTCACACGGCTCATGGTAGGAGGGGTTGTTAGGTTGAGAACCAGACACACCGTGAAAACAGTACGTTTAATACACATTTTAACCACTTTACAACAGTGTTTAAAGGACATTTACACGTCCAAAAGAATCAGCTGTTCTATTAATGGGTTTTTATTTACTTCAACAATAACAAATTGAACAACCCTTTAACAGTATTTGCTAATTACGACACACAATGTGTTAATATATTGTTAATGTTGGATACAATTTAGCAAATGACACTGGAGCCGAGAAATCAGGATGGTGTGATGGAGAAGACGCTCATGTTCATAAAAACAAATAGCCCATATTTATTTGGGGTATTGATAACACATTTTTGAGGATTGGCTAATGGAATAGCTAATTCCTGCTTTACCACTTATTTAGAACCATTGAATTAAAGATATGTGTATTGTCCCCCTTTTTCCACTAATTGTAATGCCACAGAAGCTTCTTTTATTAAAGGGTTTGTTAATAATCTATGAAACATGCATAACAAATTTAAGTAATGTTCAGTACTGAGTCCTGGTTAGCAGATTAATTAAGACAAGTCTCAAATAGTTTTGTGATTACTACTATTAGAGACGGTATAGTTAGTATTAGGGCTATAACAAATGTAATATATGTTTTATATTCAAAACCTAATGCAACAAAAAGTTGTGTTTGGCTCAAATGTTGTTATGGTAGTATGCATTAGAGGTGCATTTTTAGTGCTTTTACAAACATGTTTACTTAATGAGATCTTTGATAAATAATTATCAGTAATGTGAATAGCATGTCTAAGTGCAGAGTTTAAAATCTGGAGAATACACCTATATTATTTCGCAATATCCAAAATCTAAGCAATATCTATTATCATATGATATCGATAAAATATTGATATATTGCCCAGTCCCAGCTGAGCATTTTGGATATTCATTTTAAATGTGAACTTCAACATTGTAAATAGTAAATAAACTACTTAGTACAGCCCTGGTAAGTATAGTTCTTTACAGTACAGAGCAAATTCTCCATCCTTTTTGTTTAAATGTAAATGTAATTCCTTTATGTGATTGTGCACTACTTTCTTCACTTTCAGTACTTTTAAAATGTATCTCTCCACAGTATATTTGATAATTAGTATGATTGGTGCTCGAGTGCGTGTCAGTTACTTATTGTTGCAGATCTTACGTAAAGAACGTGACTGAAAGTATTCAGTATGTCAGCGAAAGGAGTTCACAGAATATTTCCTGTTTTCCTCTACTTCTGTTTTTGTCTCATAGTGAACGCCAAGCCAAAGTCCATTCACAAATCTGGCAATTAAATGTGACCTTTATCAGCAGCAACACGCCCAGTAAAAGTGATTCCAGACATGTTTTGTATTGTCAGTCAGTTGTTCTTTTCAATGACAAAAACAGACTTTAAGATAAAGACCGTTCCTTTTACTGATTGAAAACACCAGAAGAGTCATTCAGCTGAAGAAAGTAAATGGTCACGTTTATTGGCTGTAAGCTGCTTTACTGTTTGTGTACGGCCAACAATGGCTTATTAGAGGCATCACTCTGGATTGTTACAAGTTGTGAAAGAGACGCTGGTATCGTATTCAGCTTGTGAGTATGCATGTGTCTTTATAGCAAAATATGCTCTTATAATCACCTACCATTGTAAGAATTACCACAGAGGTCGTTGTGACTATTTTCCAGATGTTTAGACATTCTTTTAGGGTTATGTTCTGACCACCAGATTATGTTGTTCTGATTACAAGATCCATGACCGTTAGCTGCTTCTGTTTCGGTGAAGAAGCCGATTCAGAGCGCAGGATGAATCAAATGTCATTGTTAATAAAAGAAAATAAGATTAAATAAGGCTGCAGATTCTAAAATCTAACTTTTTTTTAAATTCCACTCGCAGGTGAGGAGCAGAGAAAGCACTAATACGCTTCAGTAAAAGTATAACTCTGCAGCATTGTGAGATCTTTTACGTAAGGCTTTATCACCACCCTAGTTTCGGTTTGTCGCACAGGTTTAATTCAGACGAAAGCTAAAATATTGGTTTGATGATGAAGGGGATGATGCTTCATGACACATGGAGTGTTGAATCATCCTCAACCTGAGTGAGTCATCTTTTACTGCTGGTTTGTTATACATTTTTATAACAGATTTAGTTTGAAATAGTTACGTTTTTATTCAAGTATAGCTGTTTTACACTTTGGAAAATGTCTTTATTTAGATGTCTATTTAGTATACTAAATTATATTCTAAGACGGGTTTTATACGGGTGCTTAAAAACACATGACATTTCATGTGGTATTACATTTTCCAACATCTGTTCGGTGATGGAAAAGCTTAGATGGCCTAAATTCGGCTTTGAAAGATCCACTTTTTTCGCTAACTGTGTTTGCGTTATACCTTTTCTCTGAAAACGGCATCATGAGCGCTGAGAGTAAATAGGCCAGCGCTTTTACGTTTTATTTGCCTTCAACAATGTATATGAAAATAAAAAACATATCTGAAATACCTGATCCCCTCATAGAAAATGCCGCTCCATACTAAATCAAGCACACCTATACTTATAGCCAGACACAGCCAGTGTTTGAAATGTTTTGACTTCCCCGCGGCAGAGCCATTACTCCGCTCTGCGACTAGCTCAGTCAGTGGGCTTGGTGAGAGTGTCCATCAATTGCACCTGGCTGCAGGGGAGTCTGCAACAAACCGACCCTCTTCAAACCCAGAGCCCTTTTTGTTAACCACGTTGTGAGGGTGTTTGCCTATGATCATGTGCATACATCAAATGTTGTTTATGATGCCGTGGCAGCTGCTTTCCTCAGTGCAGACGTCTGACGAAATGCCCGTGAAATCGACACACTGGATAATTCGGACATCCATGATGCCGTGTAGTCACAGTGCTGCCAGAGTGCACCAGAACGCAGCTCCGGCACTTCAAACATTGCACTACCCATAAGGAGCCGTACACATGTCGCAATGCCACAGTTTTTGCCTGGCTGTGTCTTTAGTTGAAAGCCAAGTGGCGATCTGTCATACTGATCATACAATAAAGCCATCGAAAATAATATGATACAGTAGAAGTACTTATGGGTCTCTGTGTGTCATTCAAGCTCGGCTCTGTGTTGCGGCCTTCACACCAGCGCTTTTCCCTTTCTAGCTCCGAGCGGGAGCTTTTCTGGTTCAGCTCCGGTTTCCCTTTTCTGCTCCCGCTCTGTTCACACCGCCCAGAGCCCGACTGGTGCTGCCGCTGCTGCGTCATGACGTCACCGTTTACATCGCTGATTTGCTCCCCAACGGCGTTACGGCGCTCACAACAACAACAACGGGGAACTGCGTCGGGTCGATGATCGTGTTGCTTTTAATCACACAAAGCCAGATTAAATTAAATAACGACTTCTCCAACCTTATACTTTGCTCCAGAGTGCCGTGGTTCATTGTTTATTAATGTGTTTCTGCGGCATTTACCGACCGCTGCAGTGTTGGCTGCTCTTCCACGGGAGTTTATTCTCCTCCGTTAGCTCCCGGTTAGCTCACACTGCGCTCTAAAGTATTCACTGTCCGACTCACACAAGCAGCTGATACATATCCCCAGTTCCCCTTAGCCTAAGTGAATGTGTGTCAGTCTGAATTGACGCTGTTTGGCATCACAACGCTGTTATGAAAGTTTCTCTGGTATAAAATGGGTGATGTTAGCATAGCAACCGAAGCTAAACTGACTACTTGCTATTGCTATCCTATTGTGGCATAAACCGTTTTCTACAGGCACATTTTACCGGCGTATTTTTATTATGATTCTACTTGTGATAGTCGGACACGACAACCTGTGCAGCCCATGTATTGATTCCATCCGATAGCTGCTATAATACAAAACAACACGTCTGCCTCTCTCCACAATGATCAATAACAGTGAACGGATGGTCAAAGTAAGGTACAAATAAACAGAATCACACGAAGCAGGGTTAGTGTTGCCTGACTTTATAAAGTGTGTTTATAAGCACTACTGCTTGTAGGCAGGCATGACAGTCGAGCCATGTTCAGGGGAGGTGGGTTTAGTTTCCTGCACGCCTCGACGTAAGAGAGACGTAAGCGACGCCGCCTCTTAGCTCCGAAGCTCTTGCCTCTAGACCGACAATTTTTGGGAGCTGGAAGTGAACCGGATTCCGGAGCTAAGAGCCGGCGCCGCTGCGGTGTGAACAGGAAAAACTGGTGCTTTTCAGGCTCCAGCTGAAAACGCGTTGGTGTGAAAGGGGCATCAGTGTATGCGAGCGAGCGAGAAATGTAAACGTTTTTATATCAAATGTATATATATATTATTTTTACAATACCTATTGTAGTAAAAAGTTGTATTTGAAGCGATGTGTGTATGTTGCAATAAAAGCTGTGAATTAATTACATTCTACTAACCCCCGTGGCCCAAGCGAACCCCTGTGTTTTCTTTCCAGAATGATTTCCAGATTGTCACTTAAATGTTTGTTGTCTGTTCTTCATATGTTTATGTCAGCTGTTAATTCTGACAGCATAGATTTTTATAATTAATCAGAAGATGTGTCTGTTAGTGAGTATTTGTTGAGTCCGGGATGTGTTTGTTTGGTCTTCAGATTCCAATACAGTGCTGTGTTTGTTATCATGTGATATACTGCATGTGTTTTAATGTGTGTGTGTTACCGTGTAAGTAATGCTCGCTTCCTCTCAGGTGACTCGTCCCGGTGTCAGACTCTGAAGCGTTTTAATTTCACAATGTTTCAACAGGAAACTTTGGTCAAACTTTCACGTATTATTGATCACATCCTAGATTTGATCAGAGGCAAACTCTCTCGACTGAGTCAGAGTCACGGATAATGTTGTTAAAAGGGACAAACAAACTAGTGAAAGTGGAGAAAGTGCACACTACTTCAATACTGCCCCCCGCATATGAGTGTTGCATAGTGATGTCATTATGTTACAGAAGCAGGAGTCCAATGGAAGCGTTTCAGGCGGGGGAGTGTGGTAGAGAAACTCCCTCTGGAAAAAAAAGATCGAGATTTTAGCCTTTGCAGACCATTTACATGCACAGAAACCTATACAACACACTACAGTAAAAGGAAACCCACACAAGCTGAATATGGCCTCTTATATAAATAAGTCTGAAGCGGTTAAACTAGTGTGTAAAAGCGGCTGATAAACTATTCCAGATTGTTAGGCGCCTCACAGGCAGTCTATGAACGCTGAATGTTATAAAGTATGACACTACTGACAATCATTTCAACGACACATTTATATCATAATGGAGTCACTTCATATGTTACAGGCTGTCCGCGGGGTCTTAAAAAGTATTAAAAGTTGATACATCTTTTAGCGAAAATGAAGGCTATTAAAAAGTACTAAACGGCATTTTCCAAGGTATTACATTTTGTAGCTTGTTTTCAATAAGTATATCAATTGTCCAAAGAGGTTGTATTCTACAGTGTGCCTGAATGTAATGTAGGTAGGGTTGGGAACCGAAACTCGGTTCCAGATGAGAACCAATAAGAAAATGCCGGGTACCCATACAAAATACACAATTTTGGTTCTGCTTAACGGTTCCTAAACGCTATAGACCCTGTATTCCACCGGGTCCGTCTGCGCTGCGGTGACCCGGTGGAATACATAGCGGACTGGCCATCTGTGTGTTCTGGAGAATCACAGAACGGCCGGTCGTCAGCGGGCCGTTGACGGCCGGCTCGGTACGCTGACGGCCGGCACCGCCCTTAATTTTTTTTAATGGCATCATGTAAGTTGTGCTGACAGGCGACAGAGGTCCACAGTTTCCCCGCAGCGAGGCTCCCCCGCCCTCGCGTAGACAGTTCACGAGCTCAGTCACTTCATAACACCAAAGATGGGTCGCGGTAAACGCTCTGAGGTGAGGCTCCACTACACTAAAAAAGAAAAAGACAAAGCACAGTGTTAATAGCTTGCCACAGGCATAGCTCAGTTAAAATAAAGCACAGCTATTGTGCAATACATTTGTATTGCATGTATATTTTTTTATTTGTAAAAATGTCAGTTAAAGCTTAAAAGAATAAAGATATTTTTGTTAACGTTTGACCTCTTTCTTTTACAATTTTGGAATCGAAACGGGGAATCGATAAGAACCGGAATCGATAAGCGGAACCTGAATCGGAATCGATAAATTTAAAACGATACCCATCCCTATGCGTAGGTGTGTAGTGTGATTCTGTGTTGTTTATTGATGGCATCCCGTTGGGTTTGACGTCATCTGAACAGGACATCGCACGCTCACTGCTTGATAGCGCGCGAAGGTCCGTTTACGCCGGTTGCTAAACAACATCGTTATGGGGAAATGCAAGTTTGCGTCCAAATGGTTGGAAGATAAGGAGGAAGGACAATCAATACTGTATATAGTCAATGTGAGGTAAAGTGTGTCGCCAATGTAACCGGTTAAAACTCCACGTGGCGATGAGGTCTTAAAACGTATGGAAAGGGTCTTAAAAAAGGTCTTAAAAGGAATTACATTTGACTTCAGGACTCCTGCTTATACCCTGGTTTACTATGAATTGCTTATAAAATAAAAGTGAAAAGAACAAATTCATCAAGAACCAAAACTGGAGTCAGAAGTGGTCAGATCTCACCAACATGTGGACCTCCTTCTGTGAGTTCAATAGCGATAGATGTATTCTGAAGTCCCAGTATCAAAAATACTCAGTAAGAGCTTACAGTCTTGCATTTAAATTGTAACTTCAGTTATAGTAGTGAAGACTGAAATGATTCATAGTTGAAATGTTCATTATGCAGAATGAGCCATGTCAGTGTCGCTATTATTGGATCATTTTTTTTTACCCATGCATTTAATGTAGAGGGTACTTAAATGTTGAAGGTGGTCAATAACCAAATCAAATGTTTTATGTTCAAAATATTTTTCATTTCAATTTTCTCCATGTATGGCTGAACTCAAAAGGAACAATATGAGATGGATTATTTATTTATTCTTTTCACCTACAAATCACTTATTTGATGGGAAATGTAGTTTACCTAATGAATTCCCTGTGTCTGCCTGTCTGTCTCCAGGAGTTAGTCTGTCTGATTGGACTCCGTCGGGCCACCAGGCCCCCCCCCCCCACCATGAACCCTATGAACCAGATGAAGGCGGGACTGGCCAACAACTCACACAGGTAGACAAATGGGCACAAACATATTATTACAATATGAGGTTGTTTGAAAATCAATAATCCAGTAGAAGGCTTTGTTTATAATGTTGCATTAGAAAAAGTGACAACATAAAAATAAATTGCACCGACCTTTTATGGTTTTATACATCACCTAATGTGTGGAGCTTTAAAGAAGACATATTCTACTGATGTTCAGCTTCATATCAGTATGTAGTGTCTCTACTGGGACATGTCTCCATGCTTTAATGTTCAAAAAGCTCTTCATTTTTCTCATACTGCCTGTGCTGCAGCACCTCTTTTCACCCTCTGTCTGAAACCAGAGCCAAGTCTGCTCTGATTGGTTAGCTGGCCGGCTCTGTTGTGAATGGTAAACCGCTTAGAGATGTTTCGCCCCTTACAATCACATTCAATGTGTTGGAGCGCTAGTCAATAGAAGTGTTACCTGGTGATGTCAATATGTTGCAATAAGCATTTCACAAAATTAGACATTATTTCCTCAGTCGTCATTTTAAAGCACACAGCTGCACCAGCTTCCATTGTGTGGTTGTTGCATACGTAGCCTAAAGTGTTCTTAATAATTTATATAAAAAAATTAATCATATTGATTTTTTTTACTTGTAATGCAATAGCAATACGATTAACAATATTTGAGGTCTTTTCGAAGCAGATGTGTACCAAACAAATATGCATATTAAGTCCGTAGTAAATCATTTGTAGGCCAGTACATCTCTGCAGCGCCGTAATTCTTAATTCAATATTATATTTAATACATATTCAGTCTTTAAATGAGAAAGGTCCACTCACATCCTCTCTCTGTGTTTGTTTACAGTGACGGTTCGTACCCCTATGACCCCTCCGGCTGGCAGCAGCCCAACAATCAGCCGACAGGATCCCTCTCCGTGGTAACCACAGTCTGGGGAGTGACCAATCCCTCAGCCAGCCAGGTATCATCAAAAGACAAAATTGGAATAATGACTTATAATTTCCACAGATGTAAATGAATCAAAAAAGGTTAACTATGGAAGAAGACATATCGGATTTAACATTTGTGTTTTTCTTTGTCTGCCAGGGCATGGGAGGAGGAGTAATGGGGCCCGGGGGCAACCCAGGCGGGGGTCCCATGATGCAGGGCCCTGGGGGTCCGGGCATGGGCGGTGGGCCAGGAGGCTACATGGGTCAGCAGGGCTATGGAGAGCCCAGCAAAGGCTACATGAACCAGGGCATGTACGGCCGGAACACTGGCGGTTACGCTGGAGGACCGGGGGGGTACGCAGGGAGGTGGGTTTCTCTCAACAGAATTAATTAAATATGGAGAATAACATTTCCGAAATATATATTTGACCGTTATTTCAAATGTCGCTGTCAGTTTTCAGTTCTCTATAATGTTAAAAATGAAAGTGTTCTTTAATGTCTGGTTTTTTGGTACTTACTCTGTGTACCGGCTCAACAATAATCTGTATATCCCCCACAGTTGGTACCATATTATATAGTCCTTAGCAAGTAGCACCCTCTTTAAGAAATAGAATAGTTAAACTCTAGTTATAATTTCAAAAAGATTCATAGCATAAATACTGACAGTATTTACATTATTTGTTTTATGTATAATTGTAAATACTTTCAGTCTGAAGAAAGTAAAACAAACACTAATGTAATCATATCAAATATGAAACATGACTGACATCTCTCGCCAGTTACCCGTCGAACCCCGGCGGCTCCAGAGGCTCGTCTGACTTCTCGCAGGCTGCTGCCGCTGCCGCCGTTGCTGCTGCTGCTGCTACGGCAACTGCCACCGCCACGGCAACGGTAGCCGCCATCCAGGAGAAACAAAACCAGGATATGAACTATGGACAGGTAAAAGGAGGAAAAGATAGGGGGTCACTTCATATGATTCACAGATATTTCAGATGTCCTCATGGCTAATTGGTTTTGAACTGGTGGAATATTTATTCATGTCCAATCACATGACACCCTCCAGATGTCGGCTGCTGATATGTTATTTAATAGTTGTGTTATTATAAATGTTTGCATCACACAAATCAGAAACAATCCAACACAGCCACCACTGGAAACTATTTCTATAAACACTATACAATTAAAAGCATTAGCGTAGTTTTGTATTTATCTTCAATTATGCAGTAATATCAGATTTGAAACCACTAATTAGACATGAATAAACATTAACATTCAAATCTTTATTTAGAATGAAATGTCAACGTAATGACTGAAGCCCTGAAGTAGGGATGCCCTGATCAAGTTAGGTTTCCTCTGAACCGAGCTGATACCTTTTATTTATTTATTTTTTAACAAAACAATAAAGTATGAAATAACAATCCCTCTGTGAAACCTTTGGAATGTTCCCTCCTTTTTAAAGGTTTGCAGACTAAATGACTGACAAAAACAAAAGATAAATTGTCTCAATCTAGCTCAATAAAGCTGATACGATAACTTTTCTATTGCTTTCAGTTCCTCTGTTCTCTACACTACTCTGTACCCTCATCAATATGATACCAAGTACTCATGCTATTATTTTGTTTGTTTTTCAGATGGGAGGGCCGGGTTATAACAACCAGTTCATGTCCCACTCCGGCCCCCGCGGCCCACCTGGTATGGCCCCTGGAGGTATGGGCCACGGGCCAGGACCAAATAGGGGCCCTCCTTCCATGGGCCCCATGTATGGACCTGGGGGTGGCTCCCAGAGGGTCCCTCAACACCCAAACTATGGCCCTGGACCACAGCAGGGTCACCTGAGACCCCCACAGGGCCTCAAACGGCCCTACAACCCCGAGGTAAGATCAGGAGGTTTAATCAGGGTCAACACTTCATCAGAGTAAACGCAGATAAAGCTAGATTTGATGGGGTTACAATATATTATTTCTGTTTGTTTATTTTACATTATCATGAATGATCAGAATGGGTATCTATGATATCTGATAATCACAATGAACCACATCAGAATACATTTTCAGTTCATATATTAACACAACATTGTTTTTTAAGCAAACTTTTGAAATGTACTGTTTTCTGTTTGATATTTGATTACATTTTGGGTTACATGACCCTTCCCTCTATTGCCTGTCGTGTTTGATGGTTATTTTGAGAAAACTGAGTTATAAACCTTTTCGGATAATATTTGTGGCAAAATGTAACGATTTAATCAGGATAGTGAAGAGATACAGAATGTCCAGCCAGCTGGAAATCATACAGGGCTAAGTTATCAGATCACCTAATAACTCATTATTATGAGATACTTACAAATTCGAATGACTTACACAATCTTTTTTCCATCAACATTATTGTACAAAATCAAAAAACATTTCATACACACCTCCTTCTTGTTCCTCTGCTTCTTCCTCAGTCGTTCCCAGGAATGTCTCCGCAGTATGTTGGTCCCAATGTGAACGTGATGTCCGGTCCTGGGGGTGGCGGTGGTTCCATTCCAGGTTCAGGTGGAGGCGCTCATGCGGGACCCGGTCCATACTCAGGCCAAAATATGCAGTACCATCCAGGTATGATGTGAGCAGGAGCAAAGCTTCCGCCGTGTTTTGTTATTTTTCCACTATAGTTTGAAACAAAACACAAAACAATTGGGAAACTTAAGTTTTGGTATGCAATCACCAAAATATTTTAATCGATTTTTGAGTAGTAAGAAATGGTCAAATCTATGCGCAACAAAGGTATCAACCCAAAAAACAACTACTGAAATAATAGCCATTTGAATGGCCATCATACACTTCCATCACACTTTACGAGACTCACTTTAAGATTTGTCTCGACACCCGCAGCAGAGTTTCCGTTCTCATTTTTTTTGCCGGTCAACATGTCCGTTAAAGTTTAAATCTTCCGGACAAAATGAGAAAAGTGCCGGTCAAAGGTCTTCTTTGTTATTTATTGATCTCTAAAACAAATTGATATGATTCGATATTAAACAAACTAATTATAGTAGATAAACTATTCAAAAGTGTACAGTAATTTACAATAACACGGGAATAATAAAAGGAGCGCTCTCTCCCTCTCCTGACAGCCCGTCAGTATCATGCAGCTCACGGATCAGTAATGAGTGACCCGACAGTAAAACTAAACATATCTATAACTAGTTTAGGTAGTTTGAGAGGTAATTAAAATAGCTACGTGTGATATTCTAACCTGAAGTGTGTGTTTTGTTCTGTGATCATGCAGAGCTGCGTGTCGACTCGTCAGCAGCAGCTGATCTCTCTCTCCCGTCAGATTAGATTTCACTCGCGTTTATGTCCATATCGATCAGATCTAGCTAGTTCTAGCTAATGATATGACTAACTGCTTATTAAAAGACACCTACACAATAAGTGTCGCTATGCAACCGGGTGAGGCCACAAAGTATAGCGCAGCATTATGCATTTGTTTACATGCCCACCGGAACCCAGAGGCATTACCAACAGATCAACGCACAATCAACCCATGAGGACATCTCTTTCTCCACATTACGTGTTAGACATTAGAATTGACTATTCTTGTCTGTCACATACTATTCTTATATGTCACATAAGTGGCGCAACTGATGCGGTATTGCGCTAAAGGGAAATTATTTTTGACCGGAGAGTTTTAGATTTGCCGGTCTTCAGCATATTTTACCGATCAAAGTCCGGTAATTACCGGCTAACGGAAACTGACCCACAGATAGTTCCTCATCAGTATAGGCGGGTGATCAGCTAGTCGGTGTTGCGATGCTGCTCGTTACTTCCGTTTAAACGAGACAAAACAACGTCTATGTTGAGGTGGTTCTTATAAAAGTACTACATATTATCTCTATTGAAAAACCAAAAAGGGCAATTTGAGTAGGAAGGGGTGGAGTGGAAGAAAACAAACTTTTTTTAATCAAACATTTATACATCTAAAAAAATTGCAACTGCGGAAGAAGTAGTTTAATTTTTGCTTCTCGGAGTCAAATCTTATTCTAGTTTGGCTTAAAGATGAGAAACCCTTTTCCCAGCTCCATGAATTTAAAGTTGTTGTTTTGTGTTTTCTGATCTTTTCTTTCTGTTTACCTGAAGGTCTTGGTGGTCCAGGCCCCGCCCCTCAGCGATCCAGCTCCTCCCCTTCATATCAGACCCATAAAATGCCCCTCCCACAGTACCCCCCCTCTGGACCCCCAAACTCACAGTACTACAAGGTGAGGAGAGAGTGTGTGTGTGTGTGTTTCATGTATTTCATATATTTGAATATAATGAGGTAAATACCACATCAGTTGCAAAGATTTGGGTCCAATGTGGAAGTTTTTTTATTGCATTTAAAAGCTGCAACCACGTAAAGAAAATTGTCGCTACTTACAAAAAGGAGCTCTGCAGAGTGCAATGACAAACGGTTACCTGTAAAAAAATAAAAGGAAAGTAATCAATAACCTAATCCATCACAATATTAAGTAAAGTAACCTGACTTTCTGTTAATTTTCTAATGTGCAAAACAACAGAAAATCAATCAATAACAAAGCTTTCACTTAAGTGTGTTATGTAAAACAACAGGACAATTTAACCTTAGAAAAGGGTATGTTGTACAAAATAGTTTCCTCCAATACAAGAATACACTCTTTTTATTGTGTACTTCAGTATATGGATTTAGAGGACCCACAGTATTTTAAACAAATCATGTGTGTACTACCTTACTGTCAAAAAGAAGAAAACAAGCAATATGTACAAACCTAAAGACTCTAGATTAAATGATAAGGTAGGCTTACAGAATAGTAGTTTACAAGGCTGTTTGGGTTGAATATAGGAAAACACTGAATATAAAAAAGAAAATATATTTCCAGGAGAGTAGGCTATATGAAAAACCAAAAGGCTAATTCAGGCAGCAATTCTACTTAATCCAATTTCTACCCAGAAAGAGCATTCTTTGAACTCGAGGCCATGACAACGAACTAGAAGACTAGCTCTGGTGGCTCTAGCAACTCCTTGTACTCAGCATTGGAGACTTGTGAAGATGAAATTAATTGACGTACTGTAATCCTGCTGGTAATTCCCATTTTAAGAAATGTAATAATCATCTGATAACATATTTTTTTATCTTATTGTGAGGGAATACAGTTACCTTTTTTGTGTCCTGTTTAAGTATTCCCATTAAATGTAATCCGTTACTCCCAAAGCCTGTTGCCAATGAGCCAAATGCACACATTCATTGACCTCCATGCTCAGTTTCCTCTACAAAGGAGGGGGACATTTTTTGGGACGGACAGAGTGACAGTTAGCGTAAAAACATTAACATGTGTTGTTGTTTTGGTCTGTGTTTTTCTGCAGCAGGAGCAGTTTAATGGTCAGGGTGGAGGTTTGAGTGCTCTGAACACAGGAGGTCCCGGCGGAGTGTACAACTCCTTCAATCAGCCACCTGCGGTAAAATGCTGTGTGTGTGTGTGTGTGTGTGTGTGTGTGTGTGTGTGTGTGTGTGTGTGTGTGTGTGTGTGTGTGTGTGTGTGTGTGTGTGTGTGTGTGTGTGTGTGTGTGTGGGTGTGTGTGTGTGTGGTGTGTGTGTGTGTGTGTGTGTGTGTGTGTGTGTGTGTGTGTGTGTGTGTGTGTGTGTGTGTGTGTGTGTGTGTGTGTGTGGTGTGTGTGTGTGTGTGTGTGTGTGTGTGTGTGTGTGTGTGTGTGTGTGTGTGTGTGTGTGTGTGTGTGTGTGTGTGTGTGTGTGTGTGTGTGTGTGTCCCTCCCTCTATAAACTGATACTCTAATAGGGTAAGCCAATATGCTGCAGGGGGAGTTCTAAAAATAGTGCGAGTCACCGCTTAGTAAATAAATAAAATGCTTAACATTACATTTATAAATACATGTTTTTATTGCCAAAATTATTTATTTGAATTTTTAACATAACAATACAAAAACAAGAGAAATAATAACAAACATGCTTAATCTGTAAAATACAAGGCAGTCTTTTGAAAACATTATGCAGTAAAGAAAAGACACACAATTACACAGTATTGGGAACTGCACCGGCAATGCATCTATTCATCCTCTTGAACATTAGATACATTAAGATCCTTTACATCAGGAGTGCCCAACCTTTTTTGAACCGAGAGCTACTTTTAAAGTTGCCAGTCTGCCGAGATCTACCAGTCCAAGCGTCCAGGCGTAGCCATTACTGACAGCCTACTACCAGGTAAATACACATTTCTACTTGTGTAAAACTGAGTAGTGTTGCTACAAAAGTATAAATTAGACTTACTAATAAGACAACTCAGATCTGAAGCTACTCAGGAATCTGCTGCCAAAGTGCAATAAAAAAGACAAAATTAATAGAATCAAACCCTTTTTTTGTTGCATTTAGTAGAGTATACAAATAAATGCCTTTTAAAATAGGATGCCAGCAACACTAGTTTCTTAACTTAACCTGAATTGATAATAGACTATAACTTTATCTTATACCATTTTGTACAATAATTATAATTAATAAGTTCAAACAAACAAAAACGTACAGCTGATTAATAACGGTATCTAACTTAAGTTTTTATTATATCAAAAACCTGTTGAAATGCTACTGTTATTTTTACTGTCCCCAAAAAGCGCGTCGGCAGCCTCCAGGAATGCTTCTTTCACAACTTCGTCGTCTTTGAAAGACTCGGGCCTGGCGCCACGAGGGGGCAAAAGGGGGCATTGCCCCCTAAGTTGTTTTATTTGCCCCCTCACTTTGAGCATCATTCAGCCATAGAAAAGTTAAATAAATGTCACAATTATTAAATAACTTTAAATAATTATTTTCCCCAACACACGTTACTATATTTAGATCAGATATGTGGGCAGGCAGTCAAGCAACGTGTAAACAAGCCTCAACCCCAAGTGAGCTTGTAGTCTTAATTAATGTTAGCATGTGTGCTTAGCTGTAAACACAGTCGGATGGGGGACCAAAACGTCCCTGTTTTCCGGGCAAAGTCCCCATTTTCGGAATGTGCGTTAAAAAATATAGAGCAAGGTGAAATAAAATGTTACATGTCAGTAAAAAGAGAGTAACAGTGTTGTGCCTGTTTGTAGCGTTAGTGTATTTATTTTTCTAATACTTCTTCTTCTTCTACCTCTACTTCTTCCTCTACTTCTTCTTCTTCTACCTCTACTTCTTCTTCTACCTCTACTTCTTCTTCTTCTACCTCTACTTCTTCTTCTTCTACCCATGGATGTATAATAAGAAGCTTCTAATTCAATGTACCTTCCCGCAAAATATTGGACAAAAGAAAGTCGGCTAGTAGTGTCAAGTAAATCCATAGTATTAGAACAAAAGTGATTTAAACGAGGTAAATTACGAATGTATGTTCTCAATCGCCAAGTGTGGGATTGAATATTAAATTAGTTTAGATTAGATTTATTGTCCCCAGGGGGAAATTCATTTCCACAGCTCTGTGAAAACAAGATGAAATCGACAAAAAATAAGACAACTACAGATAGCACCACACATGATGCTTACCTGTTATTATTTAGGGCTGCCTGTATGGATCAGGTTTTTGCCAAAGCGAGCCCTTTTACTATAATAATAATATGTTATTATATAAACCATATTGGTACAATGAGCGACATCTAGTGACGGATTTGTAATCTGTGTCTGTCCATTTGGTGTAGTATTTGATCCAATATTACATTTGGTTTATATATTAGTCACTTTCTTATGGAATGCCAGGTCTTGGTTTGAACATTCAATCCTGAAAATAAAAAATCAACCAGATTAATTTGTCTTTAATCCTGACATGACTAGAGTAGATAGTAAGTAAATAAATCTGTATAGGAAGACGAGTTAAGGGATAGAGGAGAAAATGTTATGGTATAATTACAGAGCCTGTCCATTTATAGATTGAGGAAATCAATGTTAGTCTGTTAACGTGACTAACAAAGTGCAGGCATCTAATAATGTACTATCTATTATTAAAGATCAGAGGAAAAGAACAGAATGTGAGGGGTCAATCCGGAATACAAATAAAGAAGCAAAGAGATTGTAGAGCAGTGAGAATGAAAACAACTTGGTGTGTCAATTCATTACATTGCCAGTATTTTTCGTTGTTGTGAAAAAAAGTCGCCCCCTAGGATTTTTGAACAGCCCCCTCAGTCATTTCAGCCTGGAAAGACTTCATGTGTTTCGCAAGAACGTGACTGACACGATAAGATGCTATGGTAGCAGCCTTGCTCTTGTTGTTGGGCCTGGAGAAAATGGACTGCTGTGCATTTAGCTGTGCTCTCAGGCCCCTCCCCTTTTGGAGCGTAGGGCAGAATTAGGAGGGAATTCCGTCGTAAATGCCGCTCCTAAATTACCCTTCTTCGATAAAGCCACGCTCGCATTGCAGATGAGACAGATGGACTTTGAATTGGAATAGATACAAAAATAATTATCCTCCCACTCGGAGTGAAAATTATATATGTTGGGCTTTTTTGCTTCTGCCATAATTGCGGTCTTGTGTTTGTGCGGACTGTCACTCCTGTTGACACGGACAACGTCAGCGAAATAGTGCCCACTGCTCACCAGCCACGCCCCGACACATGGGGTCACGCCGGCCAATCACAAAGCTTTGATGCGTTCAAGTGCATTATTCTGGCACAGGAAGATTATGTTATAGGACATTAACGATAAAACAGAATATTGTTGTTCTATTTTCAGACACATATCGCGATCGACTGGGAATCTCCCCGCGATCGACCGGTCGATCGCGATCGACTGGTTGGGCACCCCTGCTTTACATAATCAATGAAGGGCCTCCGTACAATCTCAAACACATGCTGTTTAGCTCTTGATATATAAGATATCTTCACATGCTGCAGGATCTCCGCCCCATGTAGCGCATGTTATAAGGATTGGTGAAAGAAATCCAACATTCAGAGTGCATTTTTTATTTCTGATCACGGAGAAGTGTTTCAAAACTTCTGATCTCTTGTCTGAAGTTTTTCTGGTGATTCAGTCTCCGTGTGTCAGCAGTCTCTGTGTCAGAACAAAGCCAACTCTTCTCTCCAAGGCAAACACACAAACACTTTTTAAATCGCGCTGTTCATAGACAGTTTGGGTTGTATCGCAGCAGTGTTTTATATCAATTCTGGGGATGAATTGTTCCAAGAGATCAGTATATACATTGACCAAACTCAATGGTCTATCTATTATTTTTAACAATTGACGACTGATACTTCAAAGACTGAATAACCATATCGCCCAGTTACATTCGACACGAACACCAAATTTGAATCCTTCCTGCATCAAATTTGTATTCAAAATGTAGATTTTAACGTTATAAATGAATCTTGGAAACTAATTGGTACAGACAGAGAATAACGGGAAGTTGTCTTCCTCCTTTCAGTTCTGCCAACGTGGCAGCCATGCAGCTAAAATGAACTGCTTCTTGCCCGTTTGATTCACTGTGGGGATCATTACTTTGGCTAATGGTTAAAATGTTGACTCTATGGTTACTGGTGCTATTCTGTCTGTGACCATCATTTATATTAAAATACATTCTCTGTGTCTCTCAGCCGGGTAGAGGCCTGCCTGGTTATCCCTCCTCTCCGGTTCCTGGGAACCCGACCCCTCCCATCACCCCCAGCAGCTCAATGGCCCCGCCCTACATGTCTCCAGGAAACAGTGATGTCAAGCCGCCTCCCTCCTCCTTCCTGCCAGATATCAAACCCAACATGGCCGGCCTGCCGCCTCCTCCTCCTACAGGTACATACAGGTTCATCTTCCTATTATACACACATGCATTTCCAAACATTTGGACTACCTATGTTGCAAATGTATTATCTTTTCAATTTACACACGGCATCTATTGCACGTCTGTCCGTCCTGGGAGAGGGATCCCTCCTCTGTTGCTCTCCCTGAGGTTTCTCCCATTTTTCCCTTTAAACTGTGGGTTTTCTCCGGAAGTTTTTCCTTGTACGATGTGAGGGTCTAAGGACAGAGGGTGTCGTATTGTCATACTGATATTTTGTACAAACTGTAAAGTCCACTGAGACAAATGTAACATTTGTGATATTGGGCTATATAAATAAACATTGATTGATTGATTGATTGATTGATACACACACAACCGAGTTCATGAAAACACTGAGATTGATACATATTATGCCAAAAATAATAACTGAATCCATTCTTTTTTCATATCATAAATCTAAAATGTTTACTTTTAAGAAATGCTGGAAACATTTATTAATCCTCACGAATAACAACTTTGTAGAGATTCACTCTCCCAGAGTCGTCAGACCAGATACAAATAGTGTGTAAAGAATCGACATGTAATGAAATTACAGCATAGACAATCAGGATGAAAAAAAATATAGATGGATAATAAATATCAATGAGATTAATGGATCTAGAAAGATGTCAAGCAGCTTCCAGGTTAGTGTTGCATGATGTACCGATACTTGAAAGGTACCGTGATACCCTGCCGTTAAAAGCGGTACAATTCCTCCGTTTCATTAGTATCGGTACTTTAAGAATGACGGGGAAAACTACTCCGGTGAGAAAGCGCTGTTTTAATAAGAGCCGTGTGTGTTCAGCGCTCTGCTTCCACTCCCTGCACTGCAGCCGTGCCTGCAGTCCCTCCCCTCTCTCGTGCACGCGGCTACGCTCTAGCTGCCAGAGCATGTGAGAAAACGAGAAACATGGCTGCAAGTGGGAGTGCAACTGCCGCTGCGCCTCGGCATGTTGACAAAAAAGACGCCAGAAGCGACATTTGGAAGTATTTGAGCCATATCTTGTCTGTAAGACATGTTTTAGATCCCTGCAAACCAAGGGAGCCAACACATCAAACTTGGCTAAGCACCCGCCGACCGGAATCCAGAGCTGTTTAAAGAATGTAAAGACAGACCGGTTAGCGAATGTGATAGATAACATAATTACATCATGCTCAAGCCCATGCCCTCAAATCTAAGTCAAACAAGTGTAATTTATTTTGTGACAAACGAACGTTTTCGTAGTTTGACGAGGCAATTAATGACAATGATAACTGTCTAATATGGCTATCTTTTTAGCAAACTTACCAATGTGGCTAACATCTGCAATATACATTTTGTCAATAATTATTTATATTACTGTACTATTACATGTTAATATAATATAAAGTTAACTATCAAAGAAATCACATAAACTCAAGTATAAAGAAGAAACCATGTTGTAAGAAAACACTTAACAGATAAACTACAATTTGATTGATCGTGAAGATAATAAAAGTAAAGTATCGAAAAATAATCGGAATCGCAATTCTTGACTTGGTATCGTGACAACACTATTCCAGGTGTTGCAGAGCAGCCAAGCCATACCACCTCCTCTCCACCATGTAACTTGGGAAGAGTATAAGGCGCTTTCACACCGGAGAGCTTTTCCCAGGAATAGTTCTGATAGTTCCTGGGATTTTGCGTTCACACCAAAAAGATCTGGAACTAGAACCTTTTTTTGCAAACCTTTTCACCCCTTTTTATTCCCTGCTAGAGAGCAGGGACTTTCCTGGGGAGAAAAAGGTTCCAATTTCTGAACTGGGCTGGGCGAATTGCAAACCACGGCCCGTAAAACTCTGAACGTTTTTGTGAAGCCGCCATTGTATTTGCTAGCATTAGCCCCGCGCACCAACGGAGAGAGAATAACTTATCGCAACATAAAATAAAACATGGGAGCAGTGGAGATGAGGAGGTGTCGGCGTTCTGGCGATTTACTCGGAAGGCTTCAGTAGAAGCTGCTGGGAGTCCCAGCAGCTTCTACTGAAGCCAGTCCCCAACTCCGAGGACTTCCGGCCGGGGACTTCGGGTGGGATTATACGCCGTGAAGTTGTTTGTGGCCTGCCAGTAAACCCAAAGCAGAAGAAGAAGTGACGTCAGTGGCTTCATTTGCGTAATCTTCCCTCAGGGACTTATTCCGGTGTGAACGCGATCTACTAGATAGCTCCGGGAACTATTCCTGGGAAAAGTACTTGGTGTGAAAGCGCCTAATACTACACAAAGACACAGGAAGCATTCACACACGGTCGTCTTTCAAATGTTATAAAGGTTCTTTGTCTATTTCCTGCATCATCAGCACTTCATTATTATTCTTCTTGTTCTTAATTCATCTTATCTGATTTATCCTAATGGGTCAAATTTAGATTATCATCAGTCAGGTATATATAGGCCAGTGGTGAGAGGTGTTTTTTCTTTCTTTCAAACTTTAGTTTTTATTGAGTTAAGTTTGTACACAATGGAGAGACAGCACAGACAAATCACATTGTACTTATGGCTTTTCTTGGCTTATAACAATGAGAGTAAACACAAGTACAAGATCATAAATAAAATAAACATCAAACTGAAATTCAACAGTCATGGTTACAATTGGCATACAGATATATTGAGCAGTCTCCTGAAAAGCATATGCATATGCCCTAGCCATTTTCAACAGTGTCATAAACGATCCATTTCTTTCATTTACTCTCAAAAATATTGACTCTCATTCTAAGTTGGTAAGTAATTTGTTCCATGATATATACCTCTCTTATAATATCCATCCACTGGTCTTTTGTGGGGGGCTCAGCCTTACACCAATTTCTGGTTATTGCTTTCTTGCTTGTTATTAACAGTATCTTAGTTGTATATCTATCAGTATTAATCACACAATCATTTATGGTGCATTCCTTGGGTATTGAATAACCCAGAATGTCTACAACAGTTGCATGTATATTTTCCCAAAAGGTATTTAGTTTATGGCATTCCCAAAAAACGTGTGTGCGATTTGCCTCTCTACTACCACATAACCGCCAACATGTTTGTTGTGTACCGGTTTGTTTACTCTTAATCAGTGTTTCCGCCAGACCAGGGCTGAGAGGGCGTCCACCCGAGAGCGGGGGGGGGGGGTGCTTGAATTTTGACTTGAGCCGTCCCTTATAGATACTGTCTTTTTACGTTAGTGAGCCGGATCATTTGGCTCGGCTCTCTTATGGCGCGTTTCCATTGCAGGCCTCGCTCGGTTTGGTTAGGCCTTATTAGGCCCGGCTCACTTTAATGCTGCGTTTCCATTACAGTTTAGGAACTGGGGCAGTTACTATAGTAACGCAGTGTAGGCGGAGCCGTGACGTCATCTTCAATGAGAGCCCCAGAAAAACAACACAGCCGTTAGCTCTTAGCACTCAGAGCTCACAGCTCCTCATATCTGTTCAGAAACAAAAGTTAAACAAGTACAAACCACAGACTGTCTGTGTCATGGCGAATACAGTCGCTGGTTTATTTATGTCTGTATAGGCCGTTGTTGTGAGTGTGGACGGTCGGAGCATATATAACGTTAGCTTAGCCAAGCTCCATTTAGAAAACACGCATTTTAAAAGGGTTTTTCGCCTGCCGTCTGTCTGCAGACTTGTCAAAGCATTAATTCATGGTTTTTACTAACCGGTATCAGTATGTTGTTACTTCGACATCATTTTGAAACGTGTATTACAATTAATTCACGGTCAAATATGTTCATCTTGTTGTAGTTGTAGCCCCCTTGCCAGCGATTCTCTCTCTAGTTTAGTATACTCAGCCCGACTCAGCCTGGTTGTTCCTGGCCCTAGAACCACGATTAAAAAGGTGAAAAAGTATCCCCGGGCCAAAACTAGGCCAAGTGGAAACGCAACCAAAAACGGGCCCCGCACGGCTCGGCACGCTTAAAGCGAGCTACCCGCTGCAGTGGAAACGCGCCATTAAAGAGCCGGCTGTTTCGGCTCCCAAACGGCTCTTCATGTTACCACAGTTTACCACGGAGCCTCAGTTTCGCCGCTCACACGCGTACTCCACTAAAACCCCCCGTTCATCGCGTCCAAATCACGCACGTTCAGTGTTGTCCTGTAGCAGGCACCGTCGATGTCGGGGAAACGATCTTCAATACTCCGAAAAGAATCCCACCAGACTCCTTTGCCCCTCCAACAGCGGGATGTCCTTCTCCTTTTTCCTTTTCGTCATTTCAAGCGATAAAAACTCTCGATCTTCTCTCTAATTATTAATATTTTTGGACGCCCTCGGTTCGCGTTCAGGGCGTCCCGAGCTGAATAAGGACGTCAAATGACGGCAAGACGCCCCCTTGGCGGAAACGCTGCTCTTAATTTTAGGCGTTATGAAGAATCAAGTGAGGTTTTTCCAGCTAAACTCTCTCCTAGTCCTTGAGCTTGTGGTGGTTTGTAGTGATTGGCACATGTTGAGACATTCCTCTGTTGTAATTTCAATGCTAAGTTCCTTCTCCCATTTTTTCTTGATGTAAACAGTAGAAGTATCCCTACTATCTCTTATGTTTTTGTGTAGAGCTGAAGTTGCCTTAAGTCTGGTCTGATTGTATGTCCGTATCAATATATCGATCACTCCGTTTGAGGTCTTTGTTTGTATTTCCTTTATAAAATAGTCTCTCAAATCAAATCAAGCACATTTATAAACGATTTTTAGTCGAGCCAAAGTGCTGTACATAAAATAAAATTAGCCTACAGTAGAGACACTTTACAGCAAATACAACAGCACAGATTGTTCAGAATATCAGTATGAGAAAAAACGACACCCTCTGTCCTTAGACCCTCACATCGTACAAGGAAACACTTCCAGAGAAAAACCCACAGTTTAAAGGGAAAAAATGGGAGAAACCTCAGGGAGAGCAACAGAGGCTCCTCTGTTGCTCTCCCTACGGGTCCGGCGCAGCGGCGCTGTGAAAGTCCACCGCCATTGCGAGTCTCCGGCTGTAACAGTCCACTACCGCCCGCGAGGACCCAGGTTTGATTCCGGCCTTATTTTAAAAAAATAAAAAATCTCCTGTTCATCGCGTCCATTCGCAACCCACCTATCACATCTCTGCGACCCGCCCCACAGTTGGAGAAACGCTGTGTTAGACTACAATTAATTTGTATTCTAGCTGTGTGATTTTGATAGATAGTTTCAATGCACTTAATTGAGTCCTTATTGAATCCAAACCGCTCTAGTACTAGATAGAGAAAGTTCCAGTTCACGCTATCAAAAGCCTTTTCAGCATCTAGACCAGGGGTGTCAAACTCAAATATACAGTGGGCCAACATTTAAAAATCGGTACTAGTCGAGAGCCGGACTGGTTCAATGTTTATTGCAAAACTTATTGAAATTAACTTATTGCACATATTAAACCTGGAACTAACAAAGCTTAAATTATTGCCTATAAAAACAACATTAAACATTAAATAATCAGTTGCATTCATTTCTTATGGCTGTATCTGCAGCTTTTCCGGAGTCATTTCTTATGATTACATTTCTCCGGAGGGTCAGATCTAATAGTAATTAGAAATTATCCTGCGGGCCGAAATTAAATCCACCAAGGGCCTGATTTGGCCCCCGGGCCTTGAGTTTGACACATGTGATCTAGACTTACCAAAAGAGCACTAGTTTTGTTGTTGTTGTTGTTGTTGTTGTTGTATTGAGTTAATAATTTGCAGTCCTCCTAATGTTGTTTTGTGTTTGGTGGCCCACAATAAAACCAGTTTGATCTTCATCTATTAAATCAGTCATAAATGTCTCATATCTCTTCGCTATAATCTTGTAGTCTACATTGAGAACAGATATGGGTCTGAAGTTGCTACAGTATTCTGTCTCTTTCCCCTCTTTGGGAATAACAGAGATTATGGCCTCCTTCCACGAGGGTGGTAGCAGCCCCTCTCTAAGAGTGAGTAGTGGTTTTACAGGAAGTGTGCATGTGTCTGAGCTGATTTTGATTTCCTGTTACAGGTAACCCTAGCGACGACCTGCGGCTGACCTTCCCGGTGCGCGACGGCGTGGTCCTAGAGCCCTTCAGATTAGAGCACAACCTGGCTGTCAGTAACCACGTCTTCCAGCTCAGAGACTCCGTCTACAAGACTCTCATCATGAGGTGAACACACACACACACACACACACACACACACACACACACACACACACACACACACACACACACACACACACACACACACACACACACACACACACACACACACACACAGACAGACAGTGTAGCATTGAAGCATGGTTCAAATATCTAGCTAGCCGCCAGCTGGCTAAATAGCTAGTTTGCTATTTCTGCTATGACAGTAAAGAGCACCCTATCATCTGTTATTTAAAAAAAAAAAAAAAAAAACTGATTTCCACCGAGGGTAAAATATGCACAATCACACCAATGTGCGTAACGGGTGAGGGTGCCTATGCAATGTTTTCTTATTTTCTCACTTTTTAATTAATCCCAAAAACTATAGGTCTAACTATAACACTTTCTAACAGACACAGGCTATATTATTATTGACACTCCAGTCAGTCATGTTGAGCTGAGGTGAGGTCAGCTCAACATGACTGAGTCATTATCGCCTCTCGACGTACAAATGGTATTACAAGAAAGGACAGCCCTGGGCTAGTCAGTTAGCATGCTAATTCAGTTCCATGCAAATCAATACATAGACGTCTTTGGCGAAAGCTCAAAACAGTACATACTTTATATGCTGTCGATGCAAGTTCCTTTTGAATGATATAAACTAAAATGATAACTATACTTTACTCCTTTTTATACTACACTGGTCAGAAAGTGTGCAGAACATAGTTATTACTTTTGAGGCGATTGAAATGTGCTTTCCTACGCTTTGACAAGAAAGAGCGGACAAAGTATTACGTTGTTACATTTACTTTGGGAACTCCACTGTTTGTTATTGTTGTTAGTGAAACCTAACTTCAGTGAGTACTCAATGGCAGCAGTACACAACAAAGTGGCAGCCACTCTGATCAACCCTCTACATTGATTGAAACAGTTTCAATCTCAATAAAACATTTGAATATTTGTTGTAATTATATTTTGTATTATTAATATAGCAAAGGGAACTAAGTAAATTAAATGAACATTGTGTCCGTCTGAGATGTAGAAGGTAGCATAATATTAAGGGGCGGTGGTGGCAAAGTTGACAACTGCCAGCTGTTACCGAGGTGTCCCTGAGCAAGGCACCGTTCCCTACACTGCTCCCCGGGCGTCGTACATGATGGCAGCCCACTGCTCCTAACACTGCAGAGACCACAAAAATGTCCCAAATTGGAATCAATAAAATACTATCTTATCGTAAAATAGTCAGGTAAAGCACAAGTACCGCAGAATTGTACATATATTGAGTGTTTGTTCCCAAAGATAAATATGTGTTTGTGTTTGTCAGACCGGACCTGGAGCTCCAGTTTAAGTGTTACCACCACGAGGATCGACAGATGAACACCAACTGGCCTGCCTCCGTCCAGGTCCAACCTCCACCCTTCTTTTATCTCCACGCTTTTCTTCTTAACCCTAATTACTATAATTTGGTTTTAAATGAAGACACATACAAGAAAATGTTAACTTTGTAAAAAGACTGTGTTAAAGCTGATGTAGCAGAAGATAAGCAGTACGAATACAAAAGCATTAAGGACAAAGAGAAGGTCCGCTGTTCAAACAAAGCGATCCTTGCCTGAAAATATTTGAATCTGCAAGTAGGCCACATTGTGGAGCTAGCTTGCTGCCTCAACAAACAGCCTATTGTTTATATTGATTTAACCTTGTAGTAGCCCTCACCTTAGAGTGCCTAGTGCTCCTTTTTAACGTTGCTTTTAAAGGGTTTTATACACCCTTTTTAACAGCAGATTTCAAAAAATGCAAACCAAAGACAAAAAATAAGGAACAAATAAATGTTCCTTCAGTTCAGCATCTTAGAATAGAGTCTGTAATAATAGAGGGTTTACATATGTTAGATTTTTTATTTCCTTCTCTTCTCCACAGGTGAGTGTGAATGCGACTCCTCTCACCATCGAGCGAGGCGACAACAAAACTTCCCACAAGCCTTTGTACCTGAAGCAAGTGTGTCAGCCGGGCAGGAACACCATCCAGATCACCGTGACCGCCTGCTGCTGCGTAAGAACACACAGACACACACACACACACTCACGGACGAACAGACAGACACACACAGACGGACAGACACTGTTTACATGTATAAAGACTCCTGCATTAACTTGGTCACTCAAAACATTCTCTGCAGCATTTAGCTTATTGTATTGTGTGTGTGTGTATATGTATGTATATATATATATATATATTTGTATGTATATCGTTTACTTTACCTGCATTACTTGCACATTGGCCTCGCAACACAATCGGGCACTATTTTATCATTTTGTTGGAGGAGCTCGGGACTTAAGAATACCATTTCCATATTTACACTGTAGCTCCTGTGCATATGACAATAAAGCCTTTGAATTCTAAGAAATATTAGAGATGTGTGATTGATCATCTGCTCTGTTTCTCTACAGTCTCACCTGTTTGTCCTCCAGCTGGTTCATCGTCCGTCGGTCCGTTCAGTGCTTCAGGGTCTGATGAAGAAGAGGCTGCTGCCTGCAGAGCATTGTGTCACTAAGAGTAAGTGATTTACCTGAGGCTAATCAAACCAGCAACAACACTGCTTTGTTGGACAGGAACCTGAGACACAAAAGAATGGAGCCATCTTGGCGTGGATTCTGTATATAACCCTTCCTAGTATTAGGAGCAGCTCAAGGGCACCACAGCAGTACTTCAGGGGGTCCGCGGGATCTTAAAAAGTATTAAAAGTTGATCAATCAATTTAGCGAAGATTAAGGCTATTAAAAAGTATTAAAGGGCATTTTCCAAGGTATTACATTTTGTAGCTTGTTTCCAATAAGTATATAAATGGTCCAGAGAGGTTGTGTTCTACAGTCTGCCTGAATGTAATCATGGCGTAGGTGTGTAGTGTGATTCTGTGTAGTTTATTGATGGCATCCCGTTGGGTTTGACGTCATCTGAACAGGACATCGCACGCTCACTGCTTGATAGCAAGCGAAGCTCCGTTTACGCCGGTTGCTAAACAACATCGTTATGGGGAAATGCAAGTCTGCGTCCAAATGGTTGGAAGATAAGGAGGAAGCACAATCAATACTGTATATAGTCAATGTGAGGTGAAGTGTGTCGCCAAGGTAACCGGTTAGAACTCCAAGTGGAGATGAGGTCTTAAAATGTGTGGAAAGGGCCTTAAAAAAGGTCTTAAAAGGTTTTACATTTGACTTCAGGATTCCTGCAGATACCCTGTACTTCCTCAATCCCTACCAACTGAGCTACTGCCGCCCTCAATGCACAGGTGGATGAAGTATTCAGATCTTGTACTCAAGTAAAAGTAGAACACTTTTACTTGTACTCTGTTACAAGTTTTGATTTTAATTATTGATGTGTTTATCAAGCTGGTAAAGGTACAGCTAGTTTGAATGACTTTGTATACTGCAGGCCAGGGTATCATTTACTCCAGGTGTAACTAAACTCAGATTGAAGTGTTAAACATATTGTTTATCATTAATCCAGATCTGCAAAGTAACTAAAGGTACTTCATTAGTGTAGTGGAGTAAAAGTACAATATTTACCTCTGAATTGTAGTGGGGTAGAAGTAAAAAGTACTTAAGTACAGTTCTTGAGTAATTGTACTTAGTAACTTCCCATTGGAGATCTAAGATTCTCCCCTCCATCGTTGTATATCACTCAAAATGTGTTTTTGGGTAGATGTGACAGATTTTGATAGAGCAGGTCACAAATATCATGCTAATACAGTTTAACACTGCACGCCTAAGTGCTCAACTCAGATGAATTGCATTAAGTCCAACTTTTTTGTTTGGCTTTTCACATTATGTTTAAATGTAGCTAATATCTGATTCCAGTGTGAAGTGGTCGACTCCTGAACTCACCCACATGTGAAAACAACAATAATAAAGACACATTCACACACTGTGGCACAGGCGTTAACATAAAGGCTACTGAAGGCAGCTTTATGGTTTCCTTTTTTAACTTGATGTGCACTAAAAGCCAGCGAGACATATGTGACATAAACTCAGACCTGCTTCTGATTTAGGACCAAATATATAAAAAAGGACAGATCTTAATGTTAACGCTCAGATTCCAGGCGATGGGGTAGTTTACCTTGTGATCTGAGTCACGTATGTGGAAAGAAATCACTTAGTTAGTGACTCATTAACACATGAGTCAGAATGCCTGTCCCACCCACTGCTAAAGTCAAGCCTATACAAAAGTGTGTGTGTTATATTCTACTTTATGGTGTTAGAGACATGTTTGAATCTAGTAAAAGTCACTTTGAATAAACCTTTATTGATTTACATCTTCCTTTTTCGCATATGATCCGTAATAGTTATGAGGCTGTTGTGAGCTGACACTTCCTGTCAGGATTGGGAGTATTACTTTTATTGTATTTTGTTATAATCGCTGGCTACATGTAAAAAAAAAAAGAGTCATCTAAGTATCAATATAAAAGTAATGTAGCCTGATCACTTGTATTGCTTATGTATTATGTAAGACAACAGAACTATTAGAAAAGAAGAAATCAAGATATTTAATAATGAATACTAAATAAAAGGCTTGGCATAAAGGATAATAGTTTACAAATGCTGTTTCACATTAATACATTATCATTAAATACATTGGGTGTTCACATACTGCATTTAGAAATGATATGTTTTAAAGCTCAGATAATCCTCCCTGAGAAACTGGGAAATGATAAAGACTTTAGGAAGTCATGAAACACTTCAGGGCTCAAATGTAATCTCAGTGTCCTTGTGTTTTACATTCTGCTGTTCACAAAGAGACGGAAGTATCAGCCTTATGAAAAGGGTTTATTCAATCTGTGAGTTTCAATGTTTTCTTTTTGTTTTTGTGTATTTAAAATCGTTTTTTTATTCTCTCTTTCAGTAAAGAGGAACTTCAGCAGCGGTTCCATCCCTGGGACCCCCGGGCTAAACGGAGAGGACGGCGTGGAGCAGACAGCCATCAGAGTCTCGTTAAAATGTCCCATCACCTTCCGCCGCATACAGCTGCCCGCCAGAGGTCACGACTGCAGACACATACAGGTCAGACCCCGCAGCCAATCAGGACGCTCCACACCGGTCTTGTCACAGCAACCCATCAGGGATCGCTACATTTACAGTACAATCTATATTCTTTGACTACTTAAAACATGACGTGAATTGGTGGTAATTCATGTGCATTGTCTCTTCTTAAATAGAGTATATTGAATATTTGGGTTTTTTTATGACTCAAAACAAATGGTTATTATAACTTACATACAGACATATAACTTCACAAACATAAATGTCAAGTAGTGTATGTGATTGTAATACTGTACATCAACAGATCACTCCTACATCACTTCCTATTAAACACTTATGGTAATAAATAAAAGAAAGTCAGATTTAAAATGATGGTGTGGTTTAATAATTATAACTCTGAATCCCACGTTTTAATATTGATATCTCATTTATTTATACGTGAACTTTTTGCGATAACTTTAAAAACTATAATAATAAAACTATGATTTAATCAAATGCATCATATAATTTTTTTTATGATTTTACACATTGATTCTTTTTCAAAGTATAGCTTTTTCTATGCTCCCCGAAATGCAAATTGGATTTCTTAATGACATCTTTTACAATCTTAAGATTTAATTTAGGAGTTTTTTTCAAACGGATAAATAACAGGTGCCGAACAACTCAAAATTGTTCATTAACTACCCTAAATATTATTGATGGCAATAAAAGTATAATATTGCTTGTTAAGAGAAGCAGTCTGCCATTGGCTGCCAAAAGGATGAAATAAATGGACACAATGCAAAAATACATACATTGTGTTTGTCATCGTCGGCCTAAATATTTACAGATTATCTTAACAGACATAATTTAAAGGGGACCCATCATGCAAAATGCACGTTTTGATGTCTTTTATACATACATATGTGTCCCCGGTGTGTCAGGGAACTCACAAAGTGTCAGAAAATAAAATCTCTAAAAACGGGAGTACAACGGAGCTGATCCAGATTTGCGTCTCGCATGATATTGGTGGACCCACGGCACTATCAGAAACTATCAGTATCAATGCCCGACTGTTTTGGACGTAATATGGTCTTTGTTTACATTAGCAAGCATCGCTAACACTCAGAGCTAACCTGTACTGGAGAGTATGTGTAAAAAAGCAGGAAATAAAAAAAGGAACTCACCTTGTGGTAAACCCACAAGAGAAAAAGCATTTGAACTCCATACTGTTTCAGAAATAATCCTTGATGTGGTTTGGAACATGATATGGCATTTAATCACCGCAGCATTTAGACAGTATCTGCCGGGTCTGCATGAGCAGGCATAAGCTCCGCCCCCTCTGTTTTCTTTTTTAAAGCTTTATACCCCCAATCAGCACTTTAGTAAGAGGAAGTGAAATAGAGGGATATGAGCAGGGCTGCACATAACTGGTGTGCGTGCAGAGCACCGGGTCATTTGAAAAAAGGCGCATTTGCGCACCAACATTGAGAGAGAGAGAGAGAAGAGAGAAAGATATTTGCGAGTTGCATATGAACTCAGGGCCGGCCCGTGGCACTGGTGTTATAGATGTTCGCCTAGGGCGCCAGACCTGGGGAGGCGCTGCGCTGGCAGCTCTGGGAGGGAAAAACATTTTGACCGTTGGGGCTCATCCTAATTTTCGGCCTTGATGTAACAATATTCATAATTAAGTAAATGTAACACGCTTTTCACCCCGGTTACACGTTTCATTTGCCCTGTACGATGGGCGCTGTAAGTGATGAAAATGGGGGATGTTGGCTTGTCTGGCGCCCGCAGCTCACAGCCAAAATGCGAGTGAGCGAGGGAGGGTGCACCGGTACCAGCGCTATTATTAGAATCTGGTGCCGTGCTAGCTGCTCTAATGGATATAAGAAGATGTTTCTACAATAATGTGGAGGGAGAGTCCTCTCCAGTCAGACTGAGAGGCTGATACTACAGCTCAATGAGGTAAGGACTCTGAGTGTTTAGATAGTTCACTTTAGTCTAAGTTCAAACGGTTTGGTCACAATTTATGTAAACACATATTTCCAAGGCACTCCTTTATAATTATTGGGATAAACAGGTTTGAAATCATTCCAATGTATACTATAGGACAGTAAACAAACATATCCTTTTAAAACTGGAGAGATAAAAAAATGCATAAATAAATAAATGTTAAGGTAAAATAAGATATGAATGAACAACACAAATAAAATAAGTTACATTCATTTGTTATTGGCTATGGTAGGTTATTGGTTATGTTCACATACTTATTTGATTACATCCACTTGTCTAAGATGACAACAGAGACTTTCGACCCAAACCCAGCTGTTGACTTGTGGATGCAAGCAGCTAATCGCAGACTCAACCAGAGAGAAAGTAGTAGGCCTACATCATCAGCTACCATGTCTGACAAAGAGGAAGACAGTGAGGAGAACAGTCAGGAGGGTAGTGATGACAGCTTGTAGGATTACTGGTCGTGCTAATGTTGTCTTGTGTTCACCTCTGCATGTGTGTTCTGTGTTCACCTCAGCATGTGTGTTCAGTGCCGTGTGTCTGGCAAATAAAGTCAAGACCCCCTCAAAAGTTACGGTTTATTTCATTTTAAGGATGAGCACCAAGCAACATCTCCAGGTGCTCCTTTGAGAACCAGGGCAAAAAAGTTATGTGCACCCCTGGATATGAGGCATGGCTAGAATGGGTGATCTGTTTGGTATTTTGAGCAAAACACTTCATAGAAACGTTTTTTATATATCTGAGACCTATGCCATTGCCAAAAATAGCATGATAGTTGACCTTTTAAGAAGAAAAGTATATAACACATTCCTACAATATGTCTAAAAACAATACGGATAAGAGGTAAACATTTCAACAGAAGAAATTGCCATAAATTAGACCCTCCAGAAAAACGCGGGCTAAAATCCTTCATTATGCGATCAAACATGCGGGTTTATGTGATTTTATGCGGTGAAATTGCGGAAAGTTGCGAAATATGCGGAAAAAATAAATATTGGGATGTCTTATTTATTTATTCTCTCTCACACACAACCTGCCACTAACGTTAAACCCCTTTACTATTCAATTAAACACATTCAATGTTTATTTATAGTAAAAGCAATTGGGCTATTTTAATCACTCTCTCTCTCTCACACACACACACACACACACACACACACACACACACACACACACACACACACACACACACACACACACACACTTCTCCGCCTCATTCTGTTTTCATTTACTTGTTCGTTATCTGACCAGCTTCAATCTTGTAGGCTACTCACTTAGTTTCTTGTAGCCCTCGAAAGGGTTTTGGAGGTCGATTCCTCGGTGAACGCGAGTTGTTTGGCTTTCTTGTCCGCAGCAGCAGAAAGCATTTTCGAATGTTTGAATGAATCAAAGTGGGTCGTCACCGTTGATGTTCTCTTATGCTCCAACACACAGTTGAACGGGGTGCAGAATAGTTTCCCCCCACTTTCGTGCAAGACATCGGGGTACTGCTCTGCCCGGTCTTTAGCAGAAATGTTCGTCGGTAAATGAGATGGATTAGATTTTTTCATCTTTGTGTTTTCTCTCGCGTGTGAGCTCCACACGTTCACTCTACGGTGTTGTTTACCTTCTGTGATGCGCGAGCTGATGACGTCGCCTCATCATCATCATCACTTCATGTCAAGACGAGTTAACTTTTTTTTCTCAACTTTGTGTGGAAAGATGCGGGGATTATGCGGCCTTTTGATAAATCTGCGCAATTTTGCTGATTATGCGGTAAATTCTGCGATCGCAGAATCGCGTTTTTCTGGAGGGTCTAATAAATGTATTTGATATATCATAAAATCACACTGCTCTCTGTCTGTCTGCAGTGTTTTGATCTGGAGTCGTACCTGCAGCTCAACTGTGAGAGGGGAACATGGAGATGCCCTGTGTGCAAGTATGTCTCCACAAACTAAACGATTTGTTTACACATTTCTGATATCCTGAATAACCCCTGTGTGTGTGTGTGCCCACAGTAAAACAGCTCTGTTGGAAGGTCTAGAGGTGGATCAGTACATGCTGGGAATCCTCATCTACGTTCAGAAGTAAGACACTTTGTTTTACCGTTGTGACATGGCATGTTGAGTGCAAATCTTTATGTGGATGTCCGTTGGGTGTTGTGTGTGGGAGAGAGACTCCCTCTGGAACTTTGGTCAAGACCATTTACATGTACAAAAACCTATATAACCCCCCCCCCCCCCCCCCCCCCCCCCCCCTCAAGAATTATAATAGAAAAGTGTACATTAAACTCTGGCTCAAAAAACGGATGAACGACCTAGTCAGGCCAAAATGACCTAGTCAGTCAAAACATTAAGAATGGATCTTCGTCAGTAATATTATGATTGCAATACAAGGGAAGAGAAAAAAAGAATTTCTCTTTTTGCGAGGCGTCTAGAGCCTGGCTGCCCAGAGGCAGAGAACAGAAATCAAGGCTCCAACATGTGTTCCTTCTTTACTGTGAACCAAACCTCGTCACATCAAAGGAAAGCGTTTGATGCAGGAACAGCAACATATGTTTGCAGTAGGAGAACTTGTTTTCTCAGCCAATGAATCACAAACTCAAAAATGAATCGCTTCCATCGCTTCATTTACCATCAACAGTGATTGGATATCTACATAAAAGGTGACACATTTTCCCCCCCAGCTCGGAGTACGAGGAGATCACCATCGACCCGGTGTGCAGCTGGAAGCCGGTCCCTGTGAAGCCGGACATCCATGTGAAGGAGGAGTCTGACGGTCCGGTGCTGAAGCGCTGCCGGACCCTCAGCCCGAGTCACATGGTCCTGCCTAGCGTCATGGAAATGATCGCATCGCTTGGCCCCGCCCCCTCCTCCTCTGCCTCCCCGATGCCCTACCCTCCTCTAGGGGGCAGCAATAACAGCAACACGCCTGACTACCCTGGACCAGGTACACGGGAGACAAGATCTGATTGTCTAAAATGTTTAAGTAAGAAACAATACTGGAGAAATTACTTTGATCTTTTACCTGAAAGTACAAGTATAAATATTGTGGTTTTAAAAAGCACCAGGGCGAGGTCGTGGTGTCCCTGAGGCGCTGAGCACCTTCTACTGCTCATCAAGATTATAAAAAGAAATCTTTGTTTGCGTTTTGTTTTGCTGATTTCCTCAAAATGTTGTTACATTGTTGATACAAGAATATCTGGCTACCTACATCAGTATCTTTCTTTTGACAGAGTAGGAAAGGTAACTATATTGTTCTGATCTGCTTTGATGTATAAAATCAGACAGAATGTGATGGAGTTTCATTCTCAAAGTTAAAAGGCAAGGTCACTCCTAAAGGTCCAGTTAGAGGGGGACCGGGTCTCATTGGTGATCTGATGAACTGCAATTCATTATAATTGGTGCTACAGTTCACAGGAAACAAAATGGTTTTTTGGAACCAATGAAGTGATGCATTTATGGTACCCTCCTCGAAAGAAGGGTAGTTGTAGTATGGTCCACACCAGAGTCCAACAAATGGGGTAAATGCTTCTAGGTTCGGTTAAACCAAACTAAACAAGACGTTAACATAAAAAAAAATCTATTGATCCAAAACCTGAAGAAATGCCACGTCTGACTTGTGCTTGACACAATATACTATTGTGGAACATTTGTATTAATCCTTTTAAAAAACGCAAACATCTTGCAAGAAACAGCGTCTGAGGGCTTCTTAACATTTAACAAACTGAATGTGTCATATCCACTTAACGTGAAGAAACTCAGCTTTCAGACAATATTAACCATTTTTAGCAAAACGAAACGACATTCGCTAATATTCAACACACAGTGCTGTCCTCATGCCTGACTATTAACATCAAACCCATCTTCTTCTGGGGTATCGGGACAGTCTGCTGACCTGGGGATTGGCGCCCCCTGCCATCGTCCGCTGTCCCCTACAGCCACGCCAGCGCTATAGTCACAACAACGGTCACTGACCCTGAACGCATTATCTCTATTTTTCCGCCACACACACTCCCAATCCTGCTCGCCAGCTCTACCTCTACGAGGCAAATACAAAGAAGAGGAATTCTACACAAAAACCTCATAAAAGTGAACACCAAAAGTACATTAATGCAACAAAACAAGACAATTAATTGTGGACTGTTAAACATCAGATCTTTGTCATCTAAGGCTGCATTAGTTAATGACTTAATAACAGACAATCAGATTGACTTATGTTGCCTCACTGAAACCTGGTTGCGACATGAAGAATATGTGACGCTAAATGAAGCCACTCCACCCAGTCATAAAAATACTCATGTTGCTAGAGTCACTATTCGAGGAGGCGGAGTCGCAGCCATCTACGACTCAAGTCTTCTCATAAATACAAAGTCAAAACTATAACTCTTTCGAAAGCCTGATTCTTAGTCTTTTGCACCCAACTTGGAAAACAATTCAGCCAATATTAATTGTCACAGTGTATCGGGCCCCAGGTCCTTATTCTGAATTCATATCTGAATTTTCAGAATTGTTATCAAGTTTAGTCCTTAAAACCGATAAAGTCATTATTGTGGGTGACTTTAATATTCACGTTGACGTTGAGAATAATAGCCTTAATATTGTTTTTACCTCATTATTAGATTCAATTGGTTTTATACAGAATGTACATCAACCAACCCACTGTTTCAACAACACCCTCGACCTTGTTCTAACATATGGTATTCAAATTGAGCATCTATCAGTCAGTGCTCATAACCCTGTTTTATCTGATCACTACTTATTCACTTTTGGTGTTCTGTTATTAGACTAGAAGCCACTGCATAAGAATGCCTACAAAAGAAATCTATCAGATTCTGATGTAGCAACATTTATGGAAACAATTCCATCAGTGCTTAGCTCATTAACATCTCACAGTCCAAGGGAAGACTCCTTTACTAACCTTACGCCCCCCCAAATCGATCATATGATTGATAGTGTTACATGGGTGCTAAAAATAACGCTGGACTCTATTGCCCCTTTTAAAATTAAGAAAATTAAACTAAGAAGATTAGCTCCATGGCATAACAATGAAACACGCATAATAAAGCAGAGGACAAGGCAACTTGAAAGGAAATGGCGCTCCACCAAGCATGAAGAATTTTGGTTACTTTGGCTTGATAACCTTACAAAATATAAGAAGGCACTACACACTGCCAGAGCAGCTTATTATTCCTCCCTAATAGAAGATAATAAAAACAATGCCAGGTATCTTTTTAGTACAGTAGCCAGGCTGACCGAGAGTCACAGCTCCATTGAGTCTTCCATTCCTACATCCATCAGTAGTAATGACTTTATGAACTTCTTTAATGATATAAGTATAACTCTCAGGGACAAAATAAACCATCACCTACCCTTAGCCAGCACTGAATCACCCTTAACACCGGACATATACTTAGAGTGCTTCTCTCCTATAGACAAAAACCAACTAAATTAAATTATTTCATCCTCTAAAGCATCTACCTGTATCTTAGACCCTGTTCCATCTAAGCTGTTCAAGGAAATTGCACCCCTAATTAATACACCTGTATTAAATATGATGAATATATCTTTACTGTCAGGCTATGTTCCACAGTCATTTAAAGTAGCTGTAATTAAACCTATTATAAAAAAAACAAACCTTGATCCTGAGGTTATGGCCAACTACAGGCCGATATCAAACATTCCCTTCTTCTCAAAAATCCTCGAGAAAGCAGTGGCCTCACAATTGTGTGCATTTTTTAATACAAATTGTTTATTTGAGAAATTCCAGTCAGGTTTTAGAAAACATCATAGCACAGAGACAGCACTGGTTAAAGTCACAAATGACCTGTTTTGTGCATCTGATAATGGACTTGCCTCTATCCTGGTTCTGTTAGATCTGAGTGCTGCCTTTGACACTATTGACCATAACATACTACTCCAAAGATTAGAGGTTTTGGTATAAGGGGAACTGCACTAAGCTGGTTCAGGTCTTATCTATCAAAACGGTCTCAGTTTGTATCTGTCAACGATGAATCCTCATTACAAACTACAGTCAGTCATGGAGTACCGCAAGGGTCTGTACTTGGACCCATCCTGTTCATCATAGATATGCTACCATTGGGCAATATCATAAGGAATAACTCCATACATTTTCATTGTTATGCAGATGATACACAATTGTATCTATCAATTAAACCAGATGTACAATTTACATTAGTTAAACTGCAAGAATGCCTCACAGACATAAAGACATGGATGACCAGCAACTTTCTATTATTAAACATTTCTTCTAATTGTATTACCATGACCTCTAGCACCACGGTAAAAAATCTTGGTGTTATTTTTGACGAGGATTTGTCTTTTAAATCCCATATAAAGCAAATTTCAAGGACGGCCTACTTCCATCTACGGAATATTGCAAAAATCAGGCACATCCTAAATCACAACAATGCAGAAACACTAATCCATGCTTTTATCACCTCCAGGCTGGATTTTTGCAATTCCCTTTTATCAGGCTGTCCAAACTCATCATTAAAGACCCTCCAAATCATACAAAATGCTGCAGCACGGGTTTTAACAGGAACAAATAAGATGGACCGCATCACTCCTGTTTTAGCAGCATTGCACTGGCTACCAGTTAAGTCCAGGATTGATTTTAAAATACTTTTACTCCCATACAAAGCGCTAAATGGTCAGGGACCATCCTACCTACAAGATCTTTTAATCTCCTATTGCCCTCAGGGCCTTAAGATCCCAGAGTGCAGGTCTGTTGGTGGTTCCCAGAGTCCACAAAAAAAGGTCAGGTGCTAGAGCATTTGGCTACCAAGCCCCGTTCCTCTGGAACCAACTTCCAGTGACGATTAGGGAGGCAGACAGTGTCCACACATTTAAGAGCAGGTTAAAGACTTTCCTTTTTAGTACAGCGTACAGTTAAGACTGGTTTTAAACCCCCTTTTATACATTCTCATGGACCCTTCATTTTATGGAATTGTATTTATTGTACTCTAACTGTATTTGTGTCATTGTGTTATGTTCCTTTTTAAATTGGTATTTTCACATTGATCTTGTAAGATACGTTTGTTGTTTTTACATTGTTTTACATTGCCAATTGTGTTTGTTGACTTGTGAAGCCCTCTGAGACAAATAGGATTTGTGATCTTGGGCTATATAAATAAACTTGAATTGAATTGAAACATAAGGGTAATAACAAAGGCTCTGAATTAGCCCTGAGCGAAACAATTCTAACGCACTTAGCACAGAACTCACGTTAAAATACCTTTAATACGATAAAAAAAAAAAACGATAAAAACGCTGCTGAAGGTTAATCCATAGGTTAATCCAATGTGTCTGTGTCACTTTGAAATGATTTCTGATAACCCATCATTCCATTTTTATGTCAATAACGGAGATTTCATATTAGCTGCTACTAGAGTGTCAATGACAGCTTCCGGTTTTGGGCATTCTGGCTACGCATCACTCATTCACCAATGGTAATGTTGATGATGGATTTTAGGAACTTCCCCTCGATTCTATTGGCTCTAACGGTTAAAAAGAGGTGTCAATCATCAAAATCGACCGAGTGGGGCCAAAGATATCTAAAATGCACCCAAATGTTTTTTTTTCTAAATCTCTCTAAAAAGGTCAAATGTCACTTATTTTGCATCAATCTTGATACAGGGTATTTGTTATAGTTTGGATTCCTGAAGCTTTTAGTCTCCGATCCATCATCCATCATTCAAGGGTGGTTGATTCTGACTTTTCTACATCCAACTCACAGGTTTATCATTGCTTTGAAAAAAAGATGATTAATTTACCCCTTTTAGAAGTGAAGATAATAGTCATTTGTTCTGGGAATGTCATTTTCGAGCCTGAGACCTCAAAAACAGGCTCAGGGCTCAACTGGCTAATTGATAATTGTATACGAGCAGATGTATTAATGTGTGTGTGTGTGTGTGTGTGTGTGTGTGTGTGTGTGTGTGTGTGTGTGTGTGTGTGTGTGTGTGTGTGTGGTGTGTGTGTGTGTGTGTGTGTGTGTGTGTGTGTGTGTGTGTGTGTGTGTGTGTGTGTGTGTGTGTGTGTGTGTGTGTGTGTGTGTGTGTGTGTGTGTGTGTGTGTGTGGGTGTGTGTGTGTGTGTGTGTGTGTGTGTGTGTGTGTGTGTGTGTGTGTGTGTGTGTGTGTGTGTGTCCTCAGCTCCGTCCTATCCTAGCCAACATAGTTTCTCAGACTTCAGTGGTCCCGGGACTCCGGGAGTCGGGGGGGACTTCTCCTCCCCCGGTCCTCCCCCTCTCTCCTACCAGTCTGAGCTCTCCAGTGCCCTCCTAACTCCCGATAAACCACCCCCCCACCCGCTGGCTGGACAGGTACACCATCATCAACGTCCTCATTGACATCTTCATGTTTTATGAGTTGGGAACTCAAATTGTCCGTGTTTCCTTACTTCCTCTCCTCTCTCCTTTCGTTCCCTCCTCTCAGATGTCGGTCTCGAACCGTCTGGACTCCTCTTCCCATGGTGCTCCTCTCTCCCAGCAGCAGTCGCAGGGTCTCCACGGCAACTCTCAAATGGGGGGCGGCAGCAACCAGATGATGCAGCGTAGTAACCAGAACCCCCGTCTCCAAGGCGACAGCTCCTTCGGTCTCGGGGGGTCAGCAGAGGGTCCTGAAGCGTCTCTGGACGTGAGTAGAACCAGACTGAAACTCCACTGTCACTAGATAAGGGTCCAACCTGTAGTGCACAAATACAATTTATCAATTACTATATATATATATATATATATATATATATATATAATATCTGCATAGTGACTGCTGTCATTACTTTGTGTTAGGTTCAAAGGAGAGAGGATACATTTAATGAAGTAAAGGGTTATTTAATCCACCACTGGCAAACAGACTACAGTATTTAAGCATGATGTGATCACTGCTGATGCAGGTTCTGAAGAGAATTTTTTCTTCAAACGTTTAAATGAGGTATTTCTTAATTAATTGTTTAATTTCATCTATTTACATGTATTTTGTACCTCTACTGTGACTGTGTATACAGAAACCTATAGACCACTACAGGAGAGGGGAAACTGCTGTTATTGCTCAGATTCTAACAGAAAATCATCTCAATTTCAAAACCTTTATTTATCAGGTAAAATCCCATTGAGATCAATGATCTCTTTTTCAAGGGAGACCTGCAGCAGTAGGTTCCACAAGAAGACATAAACAACAGAACAACAAAAGGACATCATACAGCAACATGTACAGGGATTACAATTTACATATTTAACCACAAGTACAGGTACCAACAGCATCTGATTTTGTAGCATCCAACCGAGCTTTAAAAACATGTAGTGGTACTAGCTTGGTAATTTTCCATTCTTTTTGCAGACTGTTCCATGTTAGTGGAGCTGCACATCTAAAAGCTTTCTTCCCTAAGACAGTCCTAGCACTTGGCACATTTAATAAAACCACAGCATGCGATCTCAGGCAATAAGTACTTTCAATTAGCCGAGAGATCAGGGAGCAGATATAAGATGGTAGTTTATCCAACATGGCTTTGTAAATGAAAAAGTACCAGTGACTGAGCCTCCGTACAGTAAGTGATGGCATAACCGCCTTGGTATACAGGGTACAGTGATGCGTAAGTGCTTTACAATTTGTCAAAAATCTCAGTGCACTGTGATACGCAGCATCTAACTTGCTCAGGTAATTGGCAGGTGCATTCATATATAACAAATCACCATAGTCCAGCACAGGTAAAAAGGTCACAGTGCCTTTTCCTGGCCTCAAGCGAGAAACAGGACTTGTTCCTGTAGAAGAAACCTAGCCTAACCCTCAGCTTTTTAAGCAGGTTATTTACATGAAGTTTAAAAGTGAGACAATCATCAAGCCAGATACCCAAGTATTTGTAACAGGTAACCACTTCAAGTTGTATTTCTTGCGTAGTTACAATATCCAAAGTAGTCTCTGGTGTATTTTTAGCTTTAGCTTTAGAAAAGAGCATTACCTTGGTTTTATCCACATTTAAAAGAAGCTTAAGTTCAGAGAGCTGAGTCTGAATAATGTTAAAAACAGCCTGTAATTTAACAACAGCCTCGTTAATGGAGGGACCTGCACAATACATCACGGTATCGTCCGCATAAAAATGTAAGGTTGCTCCTTCGACATTTTCACCTAAACTATTAATATAGATAGAGAATAATAGCGGACCTAAAACAGAACCTTGAGGTACACCATTAGTGATGTTTAACCACTCAGAAGACAGCCCATCAAAATGAACACATTGGGACCTTTCAGAGAGGTAGTTTACAAACCACCCCACTGCATGGCTGGACATGCCTATACTGACCAGCCTTTGCTTCAAAATGCGATGATCGACGGTATCAAACGCTTTGGATAGGTCAACAAATAGAGCTGCATAACTCTGCTTATTATCTAAAATACTCGTAATATCTCATCTGTTTTTTTCTGCAGTTGCTTCCAGAGTTGACCAACCCAGACGAGTTGCTGTCGTACCTCGGACCTCCGGACCTCCCGAACAACAACAACGACGACCTGCTGTCGCTGTTCGAGAACAACTGAACACATGCAAACACACACCTCCAGACATGAGACAGAACTTTACTGTAAGATATTAACTCTTTCTCTCCTCGCCCGCCAACATGACTGGCGGTCCAACATGGCCGTCATCTGCACAGGATGGAGCGGAGGATTAGAAGGAAACAAAAAAAAAAACTTTTAAATATGAAATCTCTTTGGTGTGTGACGATGATGGTAACTTTATTTTATTGTTTTTTTGTATTCTCTGAAACTGTATTTTGATGTTTCCTACTCATTCCCCGGAGTCGACAACCCTGCCGCTCACAGTAAGCTCTGACTGTTTCAAGTTGGTGACCACCACTGCTTTACAGGAAAACTTCTGTATTTTTTAACAGGGACCCAATTTCCCCATGTTTTGGTGTCTAACTGACAAATGTTAAAACATTTTTTAACTGGGTTAGTATTGAGTGAGAGCTCCGCACTGTTGAGGTACCTCCGCTAAAAGTGATTTTCTAGCCACTGACAGGGACGGCCTACATTGTTATTACATAACATTTTATTTAGGTTTTCAGTCTAACGACGGTTGGTCACTTTTGACCAGAGCAGATTATTCTTGAGATAACAGATCAACGCGTATGAAAGCATCGACTGCTGAATTCTACCTTATTTGACCCTTAAGCTGCATTCACATGATGCAGGGTAAAGATCAGAGGACAGTTGTATGTAGCGAGCAGGGGGGGTAACCATAGGAACAAAACGTTATTCTGTCAGCTGCAACCCATAGGGACTTGGTAGCAAATAAAAACATGGTTCAAAAACAGGATTAAAGGTGAAAAGCAGATTTAACTTTCATATCTTTCAGCCACTGCATACATAAAAGTACTTTGTAGCAAAGTAACACGGCTCGAGAAGCTGACACACTATACGATAAGAATATATTGATATATATTGTCACTAATTTGCTCCATTATTTTTACACCGCCGTGGTTTACTGCTAAGAGAATAAGACAAAAAGGTCAAACAAGAAATAATTGCCAAAAGAGGACGAATAAAACATCAGATATTATTTTTATTTATAAGAATACATTAAAGCTACACGTTAACTTAATACAGAAAGGTATTTATAGTCAGATCTACTCATGCCTTACATGGGCAGTGATATTCTAAGCCTGTTATTTTAATCATTCACAGTTTTTTTGCCAGCTGTCCCTCCTGCTTTTGGCAGCTGCAACTGTGTTTCCTTCAGGCTCAATGATGTGTTCTTCGTATCTGTAATATTATAGTTTGCTTTGCATTAGTCAAATATGCTGCTCTGCTTAGAGTGGTAGTACTTGTCCATGTTTGGGATTGGTCAATTTCGCTCTCTGCATACAGACAAGTTTGTTCTCTCAGCTTAATATCGCTCCAATCAAATCCCCAACTGTTCACTCCAACAACAAAAAAGCTGTGTTCAATACGACTTGCTGATTTATCAAATATCACTTTTTCTACATTTAAATCTTCTGCTGAGGTATTCCAATGAAGCTTCAAAAATCTTTCGTCACATTTAATGACATCTTCCTAAATCCTCGAACCAAATCCTTGACTTGAATAATGTTTCTTTAAATGAGTTGGTGTTCTTTATTAAATCAGCGTTCTATAAATTGGTATAACTCATCAGTTATGTAAGATGCCAGCCACCTTTTGTGCAGAAGGGAAAGCAATAGTTTGGCCGTAGTGAAGAAGTTGGTCTAAGGGCTCGACCTCAATAAATATGAATTCAAACTTCAAATGTCCTAGAAAGACATGCTGTGAAAACATAATATCTATATTTTTACATGGACTCAAATAGATTTATTGGACATTTTTGGATAACACAAATGAGATAAAACTAAAAAAGGGCTCAATGTAAAATCCTCAGGCTCAATTTCACTCCCCCCTCAGATGCTCTGCGCTGAAAAAACTGAAACTTTAATTAAATGTATTAGGTCAACAGATTAGGTTAGTTGAAAACAATAATATCAAGTTTAAATGAAATATATTAGGTTCAACTTAATATTATTGATTTCAACTAACCTAATACAGTTATGTGAAATATGTTGACATAATTGTATTAAAGTCACCATTTCAGTGTGTTTCTATAAATATAATAAGGATAAAGAAAATGTATTTACTTTCTCTTTCCCATGATCCATAATTTTATTTTTTTATTTTTAAACCTGCCGAAGTAATCGGCAGTAATCGGCAAACCTCCTTCTGTAATCTAGCAAGAGACGACTTAAATATTCAGCCGTACATCAATAATCTTTTGATACCTCTTTCTGTACCCACACTCAACTCTCACTCACCGCTTTCTTCAGAAATCAAGTCACCTCACGTCAGATTTAAGAACCGGAGCCTGTCAGGGACAAAACTAGCTCAGCTAAAAACACTTATACCTCATTCACACCAACGGTGTTTCAGAGCCGGTTCGGAGCTGGAGCTTGAAAAGCACCGGGTTTTCCTGTTCACACCGCAGCGGAGTAGCCTCTTAGCTCCGGAATCCGGTTCCTTTCAAGCACCAACAAATTGTCCGGCCAGAGCAAAAGCACCGCATACGTCACGCTTACGTCGAGGCGGGGGCAGGGGCGGGATCAACTCCTGAACAACAACAAAAAGCCCGCGTTTTATCCAGTTTGTACACAACGATGGAGAAACTTAACAAGCAGCAGTGGTCCACTGAAGAGACCAGCTACCTACTGGGAATCTGGTCTTCCGAAGAGGTACAGAGGAAGCTGGAGCACAATCGGCCATTGTTGTTGTTGTTGTCGGTGTCAGTTGTGAGGGGTTTCCGCGCGGTTTGGCTTTATGAAGCAGGCACGCAAACGGTTACGTCATGACGCAAACGATGACGCAATGACGCAGGCACCAGTCGGACTCTGGGCAGTGTGAAAAGAGCCAGAGCTAAACCGAAGAACCGGTTCTTGAACCGGAGTTGCGTTGGTGTGAATGTGGTATCTGAGGACGCACATCGACGGGGCTAACTGGCCGCAGCACTCTTACTCAATACTGGACCAGACTAAATGAAATGTTGTCCTCATTAGTCACTATAGCCCTATTAGCACAGGACTATTGTGACCTGGGGACTTCTAGTAGTTTGTAATGAGTGCAGAGATCATCTGTGATCATAACCCCCGAGTCTGCCACGTTTGAATTGGTCAATTAAAAATGTCACCTAAAATTGCCGACCTTATTTTATTTCTGTTAGTTCTGTGCGTGTTGACATAGATTTATTTTGCAATATATTTTTTCCCATGTTGTTTATTGGGTCCATCTGAAATACTGGTCCTGTGTGAACCAGGTTTCAGATACACACACAGTAAAAAACTGAGACGAGATTGAAAAATACAGAAGTTTTCCTTTAACCAGACCCCCCCCCCCCCGTCACTGCTGATCATCCAGCAGCTTTTACACTTCTCTTCCTCCCAGCAGGTTTCAGTTAATTCCTACCAGTCAGATTAATTTAATGTTGAGCAGAGACGGGATGTGAGTTGTGATGAATGAGCGGCGTGGTCCTTTAAAGGCAGAGTGTTTCTGGTCCACACGTTTTAAATGTAAAGGTATAAAAAGTAGAAAATTAGCTTTAAAGGAGCATCTGTTCTGTCTGACATTTTTTGTTGTTTTTCATCTGAGATATGTGGAGACACTGAAGGCACCATTTACATCCAGCAACAGCGACCAAACTTTTTGATGTTTATTTTGTATCCTCCCACCATTGATTGTTACTGTTGTCATGGATTTGAAGTTTCATCTTAAATACAGAACTGCCAATAAGTACAGTTTTTTTTCCTTCTAAATATCGGATGTTATTCTTTTATACATGACGGATAACATGAGAATATTTTTTGTAGAACAACAATGTTAAAATGTTCTTTAAAAACAACCAATCAATTCATTTGTTTTCCACTTTTGAACCATCGATTCAAACAGGAAGTTCTATCCATCTCAATCACTCAGTGTATTGTTTAGCTGTTGTGTGACTGAAACAGTAAGTTAATCAACTGTTCAATTGTCAGCAACCATTTAGATAAAATGTCAAATAAAAGTCGGAAGAAAATATGTTCCATTTACCCAAAATGTCTATGCGGTATCTCCGAAAATCTTGTTTTTTTCAACATACAGTCCAAATTATAATAACCTTTCATTTCTTCAAAATGTTTTGTCATGTAGGCGCTATTTAAGTGAATCGGCCAATTGCGTTTCATATCTGCATGTATCCAAATTTCCCTGGCAACGCAACGTTTTGTGATGCCAAACCAGGCCAGTGGCGTAAATGAAGGGAAGGAGGCTCCTCCGTTGCTTCACACACCCATCTGCCGATACATTTTGATCTCCAAAGTAGATTAGAAATCCGACAGACTCATTATGTGAAAACAATACCAGCGTCATGGTTAGTAAATCCGCATTAATAGGATTTAAAGAAAGGTAGAATGGATCACACTACACGTTGAGTTGCTGAGTGTAAATGAGTGTTAAGGGACATCTGGATAGACATCTCTCAGTATAAAGCTTTTGTAAAAGTTTTGTCAGGTGAACTCTGGGCTTTTAACCTGGAGGGTCGTTGGTGTTCTCACTCCTGCAGTCAAGTCTTTAGGTGAGGTTTAACTCACCCACCCACCCCATCATGGCACAAAGACAGTCTATAGAGCAACTTTTGTTGCCACATTCTTTTTGACAACCTTCACGAAGAACGGTGATGTTAACAGCGGAATAAAAGTATGTGACACAAAGCTTGGAAAGTTTCTGTTAATGCCTAGAACTGTTGCTCTGAGATTACAGAGCTCCCCCAAGAGCCGTTTGTTATGTTCGAGTTACTGAGGGGTCATCTTCATCCTCCTCCTCCTCATTATCCTGTTTGTTGTGAAGTGACTACAGTCCTGACAGTTGTGGTGTCTCCATGTCTCAAAATTAAATCTGTACTTGATCACACTGTATGATTTAGTAATAATGTCAATGACAAACCATTTGTAATAAACACACACTGGAAAGACACACAGTGGCTATTTTAATAGTCAGTTATGCATAAGCTGAATGAAATGTTTGCGAAGAAGTCTGGAGGAAAAAACATGAAAAATAATCAAAAGAAAGATTACATTTAAAATCAGTTATTAATCCCATGCTGAAATATAAAACATTACAGCAGCAGAGGTATTAGCTAGAATTTGCTAGAATTATTTTAAACCAGCAGAAATACCAAATATGATCCAGTTCTAGCTTCTCATATGTGCTGCTTTTCTCTGTTTTGTATCACAATAAATTAATATCTTTGTATGTTGGTGTTGGTCGAACAAGACATTTGATTGTGAACATTGTGATTTTCAGTGTTTTATTACGGTGCACGACAACGCGCTAAAACGCTTTACAAAAACATTTTGGTTGACACTTGTTGACGTTCAGTATTTAAAAAGTTGATGATGGCAAAGTTAGGCTGTTTCATAATTGTGTTTTTTTCCCTATATTTAAAAAGACTAAGTTAGCCATGAGCTAAGCTCCATTAGCTTAGAGCAGATCTGCAGTAATATCAGCAGGAATCATGTGATCACATTGGTCAAATAAGCCAATAAAACTTACATTTTAAGTATGTTTCCAACAACAGGGACAGTTGGTCAACTTTATAAACCCTGAATATCAACAAACGCTCTGGTCCCAGCTTTGTGCGACACTTTTTAGTGTCCCATGGTTTCCGATGGGTTTTGAGATGAGCGTTTTTTTTATTTGCAGCGTTTAGTTTATGCAGCTTTTAGTAAAAACTGCTCATGCTTCCTCAAGTTGATGCATTTTTTATAAATCCTGCTCATGTGTTTTGGCACTTTCGTGTTTTATAATTTGCATTATTTTTGAAATTGCAGTATGTGTTTTGGGCCGTTGCACAAAGGTGCCCCTTTTGGCCACCGTATTTGATGACTTTCTAAAGACTAAATTAATAATAGTTCAAACATTTATAAAGATATATATGACTTTATGACTGAATATCAAGGCAGGAAATCAAGATTTATTTAAAAAATAATAAAGTAGAGCATCTAGTAAATGCACAATTATGACGCACATCTTACAAACATTTGTATTGACAGGTGAAATTAGCACATGCAGAGAAATACAGATAAGATAAATAGATGACTTTATAATTGGAAAACTACACATTAACACAAGCAAAAAACCATAGGCGAGAATAGTTATATTAGAACAAGAATAACGTAAAAAACAAAGGCTGAATCAATACTCCAACTCTACTTGTGATACATTGATAGATATATTTAGAAGGAGTAGGCTACTTTAGTAATACCAGCAGAACATTCAAAAATGAAGGCAGCTGCAAAAACTAAAGTACTTATTGAATAAAGAGCTTAACAAATCACTGATAAACAACTACAATCAATATAGTTGGAATAAGTATAACTCTATAAAGTGCAGTGCAGCGCAGTAGAAAAGTTAAACCTGGTTAGGTGAACATATGGCAGGTTGTGCCAGTAGTAAAAGTGAATAATATAAAAATAATTACAAGGGTGGATCTACTGGTTGGCTACACGCAGGGGTTCCCAAACTTTGCCATGCCAAGGACCCCCATATAGCATTATCGTCTGGCGGGGACCCCCCTGTTGCAATTTTTTTTTTAGATGAGTACATTATGATGGAAAATATGACAAATTAATCATACAGCTTAATACATTTTCTTAATATATATTTGTATTAATAATTAATAATCAGTTATTCTTCTAAAAAACGTTTGTATTTATCTTTTGTTTGTCATTCATTACATTGATTGTGTCTTGTTATAAACATTCTTAACACAATATTAAACAGTAATATCAACAGCAAACGTATTTTTAAAGCATTTTTAAATTGATTTGTCTTTATAATATTATATAATTTTGAACAGTAATATGAACAAATTAACATATATTTTTAGCATTTTCAAAGCTACTTATGCCTTAATAATATTATATATAATATTCAACAGTAATATTAACAATAAACATATTTATATTCATATATATAAACATCAATATTTGCTACATCCGTGCTCTCATCCAGCTGCAGAGCGAAATATTCACTCGCTCTCACTTGCTCCAAAAGCTGAGCAGATACTCAGTTTCACGCTCAGTAGAGGCAGCTCGATTCTGATTGGCTTGAAGGGCGGTCGTGAGATTTAAAAACAATAAAATAAAATATTAATAAATACAAAATATTAAAGGAAAATCTATTTTGTTGATATTTTCACTTTTTTTATCATGAAAAACAACAGCGATTTAATGTATTCAAAATTGCATTTAAGGGTTAAAATCCTGAAAATGATTACATATTTGGTATTTTTGATTAAGGCTAAAGTTGCTTTAAGTTTTTTGCAGTGGATATTTTTGTTCCGAATGGTGAATTAGGGTAGTTTTCACAGTGAATTTGAAAAAATGTAATTGGAATTCCAAAAAATCATGCCATTTGCAGTAACACAACCAAAGTTATTGCCAAATTAAACGTGAAAAACGTCTGGTTTTAAAGACAAAACTAACTTTAGACATGGTGAACTTTCCGTGATAACGTTTTTTATGCGGAGAACCGGACGAACCGCGCCCTGACCGCGTGGTCGCGCATCCACATTTTCCCCCT